GTACAAAACTGTCATTTTATGTATAAAATTTTGTTTTGACAACTGATGAGTGAAAGTTGTCATTGTTGTTTTTCTATTCTTTTACATTGAAACCAATCATTCCTAACGTTTATTTTACGTATTTTCTGTGTGTACCTATATGTTAGGGGGTGGGGAGAGGTGGTGATATAGAAATACGAAACAAACACATAAACTGCACTTATGTCAAATACTTTAGTTTATCTAATGACAAACCAATTTCACACTATCATAGGCTACTGAAATGTAAGTCGATTTTAAAAATTTCAATACGTACTCTTTATATAAATATTTCCTTCAAGAGACGATTAATGTTAGGCTCCGAATATGAAAAAATGAGAGGGTAAATATATCAAATTAGTAATGGTGTTGAGCCATGAAGCTTTGACTAAAATGATACTTTTGTAACTTCAGTAATTGTCCCTATACAGTCATAATTTAAAAAAATAGTAAATACTTGTCGACTGATTCAAAAGTTCTAATAAAGACGAGTATATTAGAAAAGAATGGTTTCCTGGTACTACTACTACTAAAAGTATAGCACACTGAGCTTTGATTTCATGATATATATTCAAAGTGCACTAATATTAATTTATTAAAGCTTTTTCGGTTTGATATCATTATTATTATGTTTTACTACTAGAACTAAACGTTCTGAAAAATTTAAGTGCTTTTTTTCTTAATTTGATGCAAAGTTCGAGTTCGCTGTAAGTAGTATTAACAGTAGAAGTTGTAGGAAGATAATTAATCTCAATCCGTAACATATATAAATATTTGTATGGTGTTTTGGATGATTTGGAGATAATTAACACAGTTTATTCAATGTGATGATTTTTCAGATCATTTATACTAGAATGAAAACAACCAGAAACCATAATTACGAGTCAGAGGGCATTGGAATTTATAAACCTCTAAAGAAATGGACGAGCAGTGATACTTTCTGTGCATACGATGGAACCTAGGACAAATGAGCCCATGTCAAAAGCATAGCACCATTCACGTATTGAACATCGTAGGTCTTCGAACTTAGCAGCTTCCACTAACAATCAAATTATCATCCATTTAAGTTGTTTTATAAAATAAATACTTGGTTTTTTGAAGATTATTCTCATGGTACTCACTGACATCTAGTTGAGAACCAGAAAGCATTAGGTTATTTCACCTTAGTACTAATGGCTTTTCGATGTGATCAGTAGTAGGATTGCACTAATACTTTTAAAAATTCTTCAGAAAATTAACTAATTCAATCATGATTATGCTCTCAGTGATAACTAATTTTAGAGATGTGTTTCCTTATGTCTCAATGAAAAGAAAACCACCATAACCTAAAGAGCTGACAAATCGGACGTCGAGTCAGTGGTCCACAAAAGTGCTATTAGCTGAGGAATGAAGTATATTAAAAGGTATCTGAGTTTGACCATTTACACCATCAAATTACTTTCAGTAAATAAAATTTAGCATAAAAAACTTAAGATCTTGGGTTTAACTTGCGGACGAGTTGTGTTTTTAAACTTTAGACAGATCTCAACTACGACGATATATACATATATATCTATATATGTATTGGTAGATAGATGAATAGACAAATAGATCAAGAAATAGATGAAAGCAATACCATGTACAACTGTTTGACAGATAGGTGTATATATTAACATTATTTTCTTAATGTGAAAAAGAAAACAAACTGTCATTCAATAAAAAAACGACTTAGAATAAAGAATTACAAAAACGAAAATGTCTCAGCGTATTTAGTAAATTTACCTGAATAAGGGAGTGAATCAGAGTGTGTATACGTGAATAAACTCATGATACATAAGTACAACAGCGGAAAAAATACTTTAACATAATTAACTACCAGAACAGATTGACACAACCAAAACGATGGACAACTTATAGATGTTTACAAATTGTAAATATGAAATAGTATAATACTTAAGAAATAGACTATTCTTTTGTCAATGATTTAGTATAATAGAGAAAAGGTTTAACTATATATGTATACTTGTAAAATACATTAATTAAAATGTACAGACTGATTAATTGTTTTATGTGAGTTTTCACGTATCAATTAATTATTGTCCACATAATCTCAATGACTAGTGATATGTTAGGAGTGAATTATATTGTACTAATTTGTTTTTCTTTTTAGTAAATGTTTTTTGAAATTTATCCAGTAACTTTTTTTTCAAAAAACATGTATTACTGATTATGTACCGGAAAACGTATATCCGAAAAGAAGTAATATTATTTACAAATAGGATAACTTTTATATATAGTTGAGATCATAAGTCAATTGAAGCTAGACCAACATGGAAGACGTGGAAGCATTGGACTCAGTGAACTATCGGTTAAGCGCTCTGGCGCGACACTGATAGATCCTGGGTTCGAATCTCGCGAGGCAAGGTCGTGGACGCGCACTGCTGAGGAGTTCCATAATAGAACGAAACGGCCGTCCAGTGCTTCCAGGTTTTCCATGGTGGTCTAGCTTCAATTGACTCATGCTTTCAACTATGAAAATACTAAATCTACACAAAAACTACTTCTAATAAATTTTAAACAATTAAGATAAGATTATTTAACTGAAAGTCATTTGTTTATGTAGCATATAGTATTACGTAAACTTATTGAAATTAATAATATTAGTTGATTGAATAATTTCATAATAATATTATATCTAAATGACGTCATACATAAATCCATGATAATAAAAAGATTGATTACTGTAATAAATTTAAATAGTCCCATATAATAATTATGATAATAATAAGACTAATAATAAAAATAATATTAGGAAAATCCGTAGTCAATTCACTTTTACCTGGTTGACTTGTATTGTATAATCTAATTTTCAGCCACCCCCCCCCAAAAAAAACAGAGTAATATAAATTAGTTTTTCTTTAGATATATTACTGTTGGCCAATAAGAAAACAGAGAGTACTTTTTTTTAGAAAAAAAGAAAAAATTTTTTTCTCATTTTTACTTTGTGTATTCAAGTACTAAAAGTGAATATGGTAAACAATGAACTAACACTTGATGAGATAGTCAATGTAACTGATCAATTTCTTATTAAGTGATCGAAAGTAGTTAGGCAGAAATCTTGGTCAAGCAGAGTTTCGGGGTAATTTTTTTGCAAAAAACTAACATCTTAACATGATCTATGAAATGTCGAGTCAGTCAGACTAGTGGACAAATTGAAAGCTGAATGGAAGAATTCTACTAGGCACTAGTGAGTACTTTTGTGTTATAATCTTTACATTAAAAAAGTAAATATCTCCTAGACATGAACTCCTCATAAATGTATACCTATGATTTAAAGGCCATTGAAGGCAGAAATTTTGGATTTCATGCTTTGCATAAAATCATATGAACCATCATCAATATTTATACACTCAAGTCCAGATAAACTCCGCCTGTAGCTCTTCTAGAGTTACTGCTGGTCCAAAGCCCGGGTAAAGGAGGAGGGATGGGTATGGGGTAAGCACACCCATCCCGTAGAAAAACTAACTCGCTAAAAAAACGCTAACCAGAAAAAAATAATTCAAACCATTTAAACTCTGTCCTGGGAGTTGAAGGGAGAATTATGACGCCTCATGATGAAAGCCGAAAATTTTCGGAAGTCATGAGGCCGATGCACCTTCTAACAACCAGAGCAACACTCTTTATAGGTACATGGAACGTCCAGACAATGTGAGAGACCGGGAAGACCAGTCAAATAGCAATGGAATTGAGGAGATACAAATTTGCAGTACTTGGAATCAGCGAAACACATTCGACAAAAGCTGAAAGCAGAGGCTAGGTACGGGAGAGATGCTGTTGTACTCCGGTCACGAAGGGGAAAATGTTCCACACACTCAGGCAGTTGCTATAATGCTGTCCAGAGAAGCACGAAATGCACGAGACTTCACAATAAAAAAGAGCAGTTGCCAAACGCTCTCAACTTTTCAGTGGCAATGTATTTAATGTCAGTGGTCATGGTATAGAATATCTTAGAAATGGAAAAATCCCTGTTAATGATCCATGAAAATTCAAATAATCGATTTGAAGGAAGGTTTCACTAAATACGGAGATATCTTATTTAGTTATATTGAACTAATTCAGGTAGTAACCATCTTTGGACTGAAAATAACTGAGATAAACACTAGTTGCGCTACTTTTCCGTAACCTATTAAGTGTTGAATGATCATACACCATAGAAATTTCAAAGTATTGTTTACTAAAATAGATTACTAAGCGTTTAATCTAAAAATTTTGTCTAAATTCCTAAATAATAAAAGAATACACCTAAATTTTAAACAATAAATAATACCGTTCACACCGAAACTTATAGCCTACAAACATTATAGGCCAGTGGATGAAACCTACAATGACTTTAAACAAGCTATTATTTTAATTTCATCATACAATTCTCAACTCCAATAATCAATACAGAACCACCGTCAATATTCGCTTTAAGAATATAACCTGAAACGTCTTGAAAAATATACCAGCTATTATTCTAGAGAGAATTTCATCTTCCTAGGTGACTAAAATACTTTATACAGTCATCAAACTTTATGGAAGAGGTGGATCAGAAACATTATTCAATCAAGCTCAAACAATCCTATTTCACATAAATAATAATGTCCCAATCAACGTTTGTTACGAAACTGTCAAATAACTCTGATATAACGGCATCAGTAATACAGATTATTCAATGAACAGTGATATTTTCTTTAAAAAAAACATTGAAAAATTGATGCAACCCAGTTGGTTACAGACATCGTACATTTTACAAGCTGAAAAATTCAACTGATTATTAGGATTATATACAAGAATCCAGGCAGAGTATAATGATTGTTTGGTTGTTTTTATTAGCTAAATGTTATTTGGATACACTTATAGGTTATATATATATATATATATATATATATATATATATATATATATATAGACATAACCTATAAAACCTAACATGAATAAGTAATTAATAAAAACAAAACAAATGATCACAAAAAAAAATTTATTGACTACAAAAGAAAAGGGAAACTAATAGGAATAAAATGCATCTATTTTTTCTTTCATTAGAAATTTTCTTATCACATAAACTTTTATCAATCATTTAAATGATTCTTGTATATTTCAAAAATTAACTTATACAGATGATTAGTATGAATTTAAAATTAATAGTCAAGTTAAAATTATTACAATCTGATAATTTTGTAAATCAATTATGTTGCATAACAGATCAGTATTATGGTCTTAACTTTTAATTTACTTCTTGATAGGTTAATTAACTTGACAGTGAACAAATTCATAATTGACCAAAAAAATAAACAAAACAAGGGGGAAAAGTAGGCCAAAACAAATTATTCTATATAATATATACCATATTTTCCGTTATTAAATATACAAAATAGAATCATTAGATAATAGTAATAAGACAGAAAGAATAGAAGACTTGTCACTGATTTTTTTTCTTTGCAAAATCGTTCCATTATGTATGTGATTCGTCTAGTCAGCGTAATGACACCAACAAATAACAAAAATTGATAACAATCATTTAAATTTCTTTGAAATATACTATACACAATAGTACATTTCAATGTTTGTGTTCTTTTAAAAAAGATGTAGGTCAAATTATAAACAATGCACCTTTCCTGTCTAATATGCTTTGCATACGGATGAAATAGGAAAGGAAGGGTGAGATGAAAGGGAAATATGGAAAAGTTGCGGATAGAATATATACTAGGGTCATAGCAACGATGATAATAATAAGTATAAGTGAATAGCAAAAACATAATGACAGTATCTATGTAATCAAGTGAAACATTAAAGATGATGGGCTTATTTCTTCTCTCCAAAACATAAAAACATTCTCCTTGGAAAAAACCCTTGAAATCTACATACTCCAAACATCTTGAAAAATAATCATTATTGTTATCATTATAATGAATAAAAGAATTTGATTTTATCATTTGATTGTTTTTACTTGTCTGTTTACATGTTTTTCAATAACAAAAGGTCGATTGATCAAGGGTAATTTAATGGGAATGATGATGATCATTTGGTAATATTCATGAGATGATAAGAGCGATAAACAAAATTTCATGTGTATCAGATAATTAATAATTAGAAGAAGGGACAATACACATTAAACATTATCATAATACAAATAATGATCATAATGTAAGTTTATTCAGAAAGACACAAGAAAACATTGAAATATGGTTATTTCTGTTGCCGGTTTACTTGTTTTATTCTTTAAAAAACAAACAATAAAACTCGAAAGTGTGTACAGTGTCATGAAATAGTGCGAAACATACAACAAACATACGAGAGTATGATTGTGCGTATTATTCTCAATGTATCTGAATATAATTAAACACACACGCATATACACACACCTATTGAGGCGAAACGTAAAAATGAAACCAAATAAAATAAACAATTGAAAAAAACACCTGAAAAAAGTCAAGCAAAACAAACATTCCGATGTGAAACAAAGACAACTCTTTTAAAGAAAAGAAAATTTCCAACATTTTTAACCTGTCTGTTCAAGATTTTCATTTGATGTTGATGGAGGCACTGGTGAATTTGTGATAATATTTGTATCGACTGCATTAATTGATTCCGGATGATCTGTAGTCGTAGTAGTAGTAGTAGAGTGTTGTTGATTTTGTCGACGTACACGATGACGATGATGACAGTGATGACGATGTTGACGTCGACATCGGTGACGATGTCGATTTTCCCAATATCGTGGCAAGTTAATCAATAAGGAGTTAGGTGATGTGCCTGTTTCCATTGATTCTTTAATCTTACTTAGAAATTCACTCGCAGTAATAGTATTGTTATTATCATTACTGACAGATGAAGACTGCGCTATTTCAGGTTGTAGTGTTTGTATTGAAGTCAAATTGGGTATATTTGTATATAATCGTTGCCATGCATGAAACAAACTATTCAAAAATACTGGTTTACCATCTTTATTAGCGCATAACATTAACCAATCCCATGTACTACGTAATATCTGATCTGAATCTAATTCTTGTAAGAAAGGTAATAAAATTTGGCAAAATCCAGTTTCCCAATCTCGATTAGAATTTGATGTTGAAGTGGTAGAATGAGGAAGGTGATGAGAAGTAGATGGAATATTCCCATGATTAGTATTATTATCATCGTTATTTTTATTGTTATTCTCCGTATTATTATTAAAAACATTCTGTGTTGTATTGTTGTTTATCTGTTCAGAACTATTAAGATCAAGACATTCTGTACTTGAAACATCATCTGGATTTGAACCCATTTCACATTTTTGACTAGATGAAGACAATGGACTAAGTAAATCTGAATCTGTCATACCTGAATGTTGCATTTCTGCTGTAGTACCACGATCTTCATCATGTTCTTCGTCAGCTAATGGAGCTCGATCACTTATTGTTAATGTAGGTGATAGGGAACTTATTGTGACAGCATGTTGATTGATATCTTCCACATCTTCATCAGTACAACTAGGTGATGACATACCACACATATCAACTATAACTGATTGATGTAAATTTGTCAATTCAGTACCAACACTGGTTTCACCTACACATGACGAGGTCGAAGAAGTACCAGATGACGATGATGATGATGACAATGATCTTGAATGTGAAGATGGTGATCGAGTATTTTCAGTGGATGGTTCATTAAGTTGTCTTTCTTGCTCATTTATTTCTAATAATTCGTGATTATCTGACATAGAAGGTGAAGTTGCTTGCCATGATCGATAATATCTACGTCTTCGAAGTGTACGTAACCTAGACTGATCAGTGTTATCATTATCATCATTGTCATCAATATTGAAAGATATAGCAGTATCAGAAGTTTGAGGCATAACAGAAGTTTGTTCAGATGATATATTTTCACTGATAAAATCATCACTGTGTTCTGCAATAATATCTTGATTTTCATTTTCTTGCTGTTGTTGTTCTTCTTCTTCAACTTCTTCTTCTAAGGCATTTTGAGCCATACATGTTGATGTTTCACGACGATTTATACTACAAGATACTAAAGATGTTGTTTGATTGCCTAGATCTTGTTTTTTTCCATGATGATGGTGATGATGATGAGTTTCATGACGGTGATGTTGAACTCTTAAACGTCTACTATGCGATAAAATGTATGGTTTATGTTTCACCTTAAATGCGCTCAATAATCCACAAGAATCTGGAATTAAAAATAAGCAACATTATTTATCAGAGTAAATAAAAGAGATATTTCAAGTTGCGTGAACGAACGATAAATCTGAAAATGAAAGACTTTCATATTATTTAGCGTAAGACGAGCAGTGTGAATACATTTGTATGGTGCTGTTTCTATAGGCTATCCCACTTACAAAAACCGTCGTCTGATTGACTAAGAACTACATGAAAATTTCAAGCTCATACTATAATTTACTCTTAGTAATATTCGTTATTGAAAATAACAAATGCGTTTTTATGGAAATATTCTATACTCGATATGGATGAAATAAATAAACTTGTTACTATGATTATAATCTTGTTCTAAATATAGGAAAAGTCAGTATTTAAAATGTATAACTTAAAATGTTATAGCTTTTTTACTTTCCATAGCGGGGATTTTAATTCAGTTTGTTTTGTTGAGATTTTATAGCTTTTGTAGATTTTAGTAAACGAGGAAATTTGTAAAACAAAAAGTTGTTTCTGTCAATCACATGAAAAAAAATTCGTTTATTAAAAAAAAGCAGTTGGCGAATAGTAAATTTAATCGCTTTTGATAATAGAATGTAGTAAAAGTTTGTAAAAAAGAAAAGCAAGATAGAATCGATTGATAGTGAAATATCTGATTGAAAGAATTCAAAACAAAAAAAAAAGAAAATATTGAACAATTGCTGTAGAGAAATTCACAATATGTCACAACTACCGGAAACGATGATGTCATAGAAATTTTGGTTGATAATTTATTTAAAATTATTATAACTATTATTTTTGTTTCCCTGATATTGACTTAAGCAAGCGTTGATCAATAAAGCTGCTTAGAAAATCTCAAAACTTAGTTATTCTATGAATATTCGGGGAGAAAATAGAGACAAACTATTTAGGACATGTAAATGTATAGTAGTTCAAATTACCACAATTTCTACATCAGTATATGGAGAGATTTGTATACAGATGCGAACAACAAAAACAACAACATCATGGAGTCAGGATGTGAACAAAGAACAGTAAGTTTCGGAAGAGGTAAATAATGAATTCATTCATATTCTCAACCCATATGCGATCTCACATAGGTCTTGTCCTAGATTATGTCGTGAGAGAACTGAGTTTCTTGGGTTATTTCTACAAGACAACTGTGATTTGAAACTAAAAACCACATCTGGATGACATTGCCAAATAGTATTTACTGTATTACAAATTTATTTATTCTTTGCTTTCTCTTAACTGTTTTCCTTTCACATTCCTCCTAGGATTTTTCATTATGGTTGTAATTGGTTACTTCCAATTTTACAATGGTTCGTAAATTACCACTCGATGTTCTGATACGATTTATCTTAAAACTCAAATACCAGGTGTAAATTAGTATATCTTGATTTGAGCGACATCTAAAGTGTAAGGACTAATGATACTGTTCAATTTGCCAAAACGAAGTAGGTAGGGAGGTTGTTCGGATATAGGATTAGCGGCTGAAAGTCCAACGCCTTACAAAAGAGCCCCAGCTTCATACACTTGCTTAATATGTGCTTCTCTATATCTACTGAATACCAAGTTCCGAAGTTGTGTAATTAGCTATACTGATAAACGTTTGCTTGAGACGATATTGTTGTATTCTCAAAGGAACAAAATCATAATGTAGCATATATATATATATATATATATATAGAGAGAGAGAGAGAGAGAGAGAGAATTAACAAACAACTTTTCGAGAAAACTCCCCGCAAATGTATAGAACAATACAACTATCTGATACTTATTTCATTTTGATACGAAATAGTCTGACGCACTAATCATATTGAGGAAAAAAGTGCATCAACCTCGTACAGGTACTCTAATCAAATACTACAGGTTGAGCAAGAGCTCGCGGAGAATCATCGATGAAAATACCAAATGATATTGAAAAAAGCTTCCCATTTCCCCAGCTTTTAGTTAACTTTGTCATAGATATTTTTTGAGAGAACACCCTTATCACTTAAACTTTCAAGAGTTGATCTACCAAAAAATCCAATTATTGACTTAGAATACCCAGAGGACACTTTTTTGGTGAAGACGCTGACGAAATTCACAGTCTTTTTACCACTTTAAACAACAATACAAGCATGTTTGGGACATGATTCTCTCGCGAAATGCAAAATATTGCCTCCAAACTGGTCTAAGTCTATGCGTATCGACCACTTCTCTTGTCTTGGAAGTCTCGTTAGGTCTTGTGTGTTGGTGTCTAACAAAATCTCAATACGGATTCAGAAAGGTCAGACGACTTTTCCCAGCTTGCATGACTAGTGGCGTGGGTGCGATATCCATCTGCTAACCAAAGGATGAGTATACTGGTCAGTAGTTTGTTCCGTTCTACTTTATGGGTAAGAAACATAACCATTCAGAATATAGGGTATTCATAAGTTACTAGCATTTGACCATAGGTGCCTTCGAAAATAAAAGAACATTGTATATAAACATAAAGATTAATATGTAAATCTGAAGAAAGTGTAATTAAACATTTGTTCAAATTTACATTGTCAACTAAACAGGACGATGACTGAACAACTGATGTTATATATATATATATATATATATATATATATATATAAAACAAGGCATATTATTCATACTGTAATGTATTTATACTTACCAAGACATTCAGTTTGTAAGCCTAAAAGATTATATGTTGCGGTCAATGCAGCAGCTTTTGTGTAACTATTTTGTGAACGCTATGGAAATAAAAAAGTAGTAAAACTGAAATTAGCAAAACTTAATCATAAGGGGCAAAAGAAAATGAGAAAAAACGGAACGACATTTTGAAGAAATAAAGGGGAAGACAAAAATAATAGTAATAACCCATATATCTAAGTTTTATCAACCGAGAAAGAAAGAAAACGCAGGATAAATGTTTAGATAAATGAAAATTTCGGTTTATTATATATATATATATATATATATATATATATATATATAAGAACTAGGCTGATTCCTTTATGTATTCATTTTTTTGATTCTGTTCCTATTAAATAATAATAGCTTATTTAGAGAGTTACATGCTTAGGTTAACACACAGATTCACACAAACACGGTTTTTTTTTTACCATAATCTACTATCGCTGGAGACTAAGAAAATAAAAGAGTGTACAGTTGGATAATATCTTTTAAGGACTTGACATTTTGATAATAACAAATAAACGATTTAAACTTAACATTTTTAAAAAGGCATACTATTCTAGTCAACAGTAACAGGATTATTGTATGACATGAACCAAATGAAAATTACAGTTCATCAATCGATATAAGTCAAAATCTGCAGAATGGATATACACAGAAGATTCAATTCTTCAAAGTAAAATGCGCTAGACAAAATCACAATGAAAGCCTTAGAAATCAGATTAGGCTGTCTAATACAGTCCGTAGTTAAACACACATAGAAAGCTGGAAAGCACTGAATAGCTGTTTCCTCAACTATTTCCAAACGTCCCACCAAACTAATAATCATATACTCACTAATGACGAATTTCGAAAGGTGATTCTTGGAGTTCTTGTGTGAAGCTATGATTCAGGGAACTTTGATCATCTCTACAATCAACCCCATCTACGGCATGAGATGGTGCTCATGCGCTATTGCAAATTGATTGTAGATTAAACTTTAGTGAGAATTTATTTAATACTGGGTATTCCATTGTCATTAGATTATTCAAGAGGTACCTAATTTTTTCAAATCAGCTTCATTATTCGGTCATGTTATTCAAAAATTTCAAAGTTGAGTGATTATTTTTATTTCAAAAGTATAAACTTAATGTACAACACGTGTATCAAAAAACCGATGCTACACAACAACACGCAAAATTTTATCCTTTAAAAATTGATAAAAAGTATTTTCAAGTATCGAAACTATACCACTAAACGAAGGTAATACTTTAACTTTATGTTTACATGTTGTTCAGTTCGTTCAAATAGTTGACTGACTGGCTGACTGAGATGAAAATAGTATTATGATGTACAGCTCAGAAATTTTTACTCGTTCATCAGATAATACTTCAATTTCAATAAGAAACAAAAACACTACGTGATCACTTACTTCTAAGTTTCGGTAATTTTTAGACAAAATAAAGCATCACCATTATTATCAATGTGAAAAGTTCCCTCAAATCATTTTAATTTTTATAAGCAGAGATGGATGGTGGCTAGCGGTGGAATCCAAGACACACATTTCGTTAAATACAAAAATGAACTAAATTTCACCCTATTACACAAGTTATTTGCTATCTGAACACAGTAGCTATGTGGATAAGGTGACGAAGTTTGAAGCGAACAGTACTGGGTTCGAATCCCGGAGTGGACCCCAACTCTGGGATGCAGGTACATCTAGCTGACGAGTTCCGAAATAGTAAAAAACGCGAGTCCTGGACTCTACTGTTGGCTACCATCCATCTCTGCTTATAATTCTTGTAACTTAAAGCAATATCGAGGCGATTCATAAAGGATGCACATAAGCCAATAAGAGAATAATCAATTGCAGTCTTAAACAGCAATGACAGGAGTCAAAAAACAACATATACATTTTAGTTTTTGTTTTTTCATTTGTTTAGAAACAAAACTTGTCTTAAATAGTTGATTTCGCAGGAATATAAAATGTGAGATTGTTAAAAATATCCGTCCTAGGTTAGGACTGCGCTGAACGTAGCTCGTTTTGAGCAACCGGGTAGTATCACTAACCCTTACAACTAGAATGTGACAAAACAACAAAAACGTAGAGTTTATGAATTAAACTTGTGGGATAAAATAAATAACTCCACAAATTTAATATCAACAAAAAAAGAAGAAAAGAGAATTTAAAATGACAAGAAAACGCTACAGTAAAAGAAAGAAATTACCATAAATAATGTAAGTTTTTCAACTAAATCTCCGTTTCGATGAACTTCGCATCGTGCAGTTCGACCAGTGGCAATATGTGCAATCACAAGTACAGCCTAGAATGTGAAATAAAAATAAGTAATTAGATTATAAGCAGTTAAAAATATTTTTGTTTAATGATAATAAACAGTCAACCAAAATAAATCGTCCAAATATACACAAAAGAATTAATCAACTAGGGGGATCGCAGTTAACTATCAAAATATATATTGTACATATAGTGTAACCTAAACTTTTGACATTTATTTATCTGGGAATTACATTACACTATGTATGCGGGATTTATTACTGAAATACAATTTAATTCAAATTAAAAAATATTTGTGGAAATGCTATGAACTGATGAATTTTAGTATTGCGCAAAAACGGTATCATGGAGCCATTTACCTTTTTAGAATAGATTTTTAAATTTAGGTATAAATGAAGGACTTTATATATATATATATATATATATATATATATATATATGATGGATATTGACATAGGAGTTTCAGGTTATTATCAAGGTAAAACAGAAGAATTACACTGGATCCTAACAAAAAAATACTCCGAAATGCTTAAGCTCGGGCAGAAAACGCAGTTAAATGTACTTCAACAGAGATCAGTGAATCTGATATGATGTGAATAAAACAATTGGGAAGGGCGATGGGATTTTACAAAAGAAAAAGAAACCATAAAAAATTATTTCAATTCACATTTGTTGGGGGATAATTTAGAAAAAGTGGAGCAGAAAAATAAAAGAAATGTTTACTGCTGCGGGGCGAATCCAAACACTTTTGCAGCGACAATAGCAGTTTTTTAAAAATCAGTTACAATTTATAGAAGAAATTACGAACAGAGTGGCTGAATCATTCTCATTTTGGAGATATGGCGGAAATTGATGAACTGATTTCTAAATTGCGTACAGAAGTGGAAAATGTCTCCGGAATGAATAAATATCTCAGTGAATGTCTTAAAGAACTTGTGACAAGCAGTGAATTAGACAATATAATAATCATACATGATCTTCCCATTGATAGAGTAAAAGCCATTTTAGAAACATAGATCACAGATGGTTCCAGCCACGAATGTCGATTTAGATCTTTTTTTACCGGCTGTGATCTTCTTGACTGGTCGCGTAGTTACGTTTTAGGTTACTGTCGAGCTTCTATTTTTTCAGCCGAAAATTCCATTAGTATATATCATGGCAAGTTTTCCAACACTTGACTAGCTACAGCGTCTTTACAATCTCGTCTTTCTGTATGATTACTGTATCTCGTCCATACGAGTTAACCCACTTTCACTTAATACATGCTGCCATTGTTCTTTTTATCGTTCAACTTGCCCATCGTGGTCTGTAATCATGGAAATCCCTAACCCAACTGCTTCATCAACATAAGAACTTCTGGTTTTGACGTCACTGTTAGTTAAACTGTGACTTCCTTATTTTCATTTCCTACAGACTGAATTAGGGAGTAGTTTCGTGAAATGCCAAGCGGTATTTAGGAATCTTAAGAATATACATAAAATCCGTCTATTTTATTTTATTTAAACACATAATAATAATATTGGTACAAAAGGGCACCAGATATATATGCGCCATACAAGTCTCATTCGATTTGTGTGAGGGCTGTGATACTGCCCAGGTGCCCGAACTGAAGCAGGTGGTTTCCTTAGGGTACCACACCCGGAGCCTTTGACATGAAGGTCTAGTCCACAAGGCAGTGGGGCATCGTGAGGAGATGCATTTCCATGGTAGCCGGCGACCAACGATTGATTCATACGCCATTTGTTCCCATAAGGATACTGGAGCCTATGTGAACTATTGGTTTGGAATCAGGGTTTTCCAACTCCCCTAGGTGGACGCGTCGTGCCACCAACCCGATTAAAGCACCGGACATTCGCTTTTCGTCCTGTAAATTTTGTAAACAACACCCCGCCACGAGAAGGCAGTGAGTAGGACTTTCCTGACAGAGGCTATATACGCGTGGACATGTGAGAGAATTTTGAGAGGAAGAGCGGACGCTCCCCACTCTCGGCTGTACCATTGCATTCGAGGGCCAACCACACAACCTTTCATTAATCACCTCATAAATATTAAGAATCGTCAAATGCATTAAAAAGCCATTTGACTGAGGTTAATGATCAAATTTTCATGCTTATTGAGTGTGTCGTAACTGGAACTTCCGGTTGTTTCCGTTACCTTAGTATTAAGTGTATAGTGGGGCGCATTCTCGTTAAAAATTTCACCACAAACCCGAAACCTTATTGTTTTTTATCCTTTACCTCGAGAGAAGTTACAACAGATATATCTACAACAGAAAGTTGTGAATATACCCAGTGGGTCTTTGCAAATTTAAGAAAAACGAATTGGCTGAAACATTTCATAAAATATTGAGGATTCGAACGGGCTAAATCATGCAGTCTTACTATTTATAAGTGAAAATTATTCAGAAAATCATATCCAACATAATGAAAACTATGATACCAATGGACTCAGGCGTACAAAAAACATCACTTTTTCTCATACCTATCACTATACATTATAAAAAATTTAGAGGTTTGATAGTTACATGTTTAAACTTGTTTATATTTACTAATTATTCAATAAGCTTTGTTTCTTTCACTACTTAAACCTGTCTTAACGTGTAAAACATATTTATTTTTTGAGTCATGAAAACGTTAGGAATTCACCTTTCTTTTCATTATTATCAGTTATACACCGTACATTGATTAGCTCACTTTACATCATAAAATAAAACTGTTCTGATAGTAATATTCACATAATCAAGCGTCTGTCGAGTGTTGCCTACACATTAATAAAGATATATATATATATATATATATATATATATATATATATATATATGATCGCTCTTATTTATTACACACAACAAAGTAATTTTAAATCAGACGGTGAAAAAGACTTTTTGGTTGGGAAAAGAAAGCAAATCAAGAAGCTTCAAATTGTGGATTTCAAAAAATGTATAAAATGAAAAATGAATTACATTATTGTGCATGACAACGAGATATACAGTGGTGTAATAGAAAGTTACTTAAAGAAGAATTGATGACTATACTACATAAAGAGGATAAACAAAATGGTCAGTTTCTGTTACGTTATGATTATTTTTTACTAACATGCACTGTTCTATTATTCGGATATCTGAACATAAACTACTTCATGCCCCAGTGATGACTGATTAACTGGGTTATATTTCCAAATTGAAACTTGCAAAATGTTTTAAAAATTGACTCTCCATGTGATTTCAAAATTTAATGCAAATCACCATACCGGGCGAATTTCCACAAACTAAACAATATTCATATTCACATTGGTGATAATTTTCTAGGGGTAAATTTCAAGATTCTGATTAATGAACTGAACTATGTTATAGAATGAAACAGGTACTCACGTAAGATACTAGAAGGTGGCCATATTATAAACCTAAACTAACTGTAGTTGAAAGCGTAAACCAGTAGATCACGAGTCAGTGGCCCTCATGAGACCTGGAGTAGGTCAGGGGTTTGATTTATTGATGGAGTCAGCTGTACACGTTATGCACCAGTTTCAGATTAAAGTTATTTTATATTCCCTAGTTTTTAGTTTGTGACGAAGACAACAATATTTATTTATTTAAACACATATATATTGGTACAAAAGGGCACCAGGTACATATGCGCCACACAAAATAATGAAAGTAGGAAGAGAAGGGATAAAAAGATAAGGGGGACTGAAATGTACAACCAGAAGACTCTTTCAGTTAAGAAAGTTAGAACCATTCTTTATGTAGAAAGTAAAAGAAGGTTGCAGCAGGATCGCCACTGGCTTCTATTCTGAGCCATATCTGATAACGTCTCTAGCCACTGTGTTGCACCATCTCTCGGACCCCAGCCAGGGAGTCGTGAAGGACCAACAAAAGCTAGCCCTTTGCAGCTTTCTTTCATGCCACGACACCATGTCATACACTGACCTCCTCTCCACATTTTACAACCAGTCCCAGAGTCGGCAAATAATGCACGACGTGGAAGTCTCTGGGACGACATTCGTAAAACATGTCCAAGCCACCGAAGTCGGTGTTTCAAGATGGTGACACCAATTGAATTATCGTCTCTGCGCCCGAAAACAAGATGCCGAACCTCTGCATTACTAACATGGTGTTGCCACTGGATGTCAGCAATCCTTCGGAGACAACGATGATCAAACACAGAGAGACGTCTAACATTCTCAACTCGGAGAGGTCAGGTTTCACAAGCATAGAGCAAAACTGCTCTCACCGACGCGTTGTAGATCCGACCTTTTACAGCCAGACTAACATCACGAAGGCGCCAAAGATGGCCCAGATTGGCATAAGTCGCTCTGGCTTTCATTATACGTGCATCAATCACATCACTCACGCCACCACCAGCACTTATATAGCTACCTAGATACACGAACTTCTCAACTACTTCGACCTCCTCACCATCCAGGGTGAGTACAGGATTAGAATCCTGCCAGTCTTGTAGGAGTACTTTGCACTTGGAGGGTGCAAAGCACATGCCGTACCTGCGGACACTGATTGCCAACTGATTAAGTGCGGATCGCATGCCTTGGGCATTATCGCACAGTAAGACAATATCATCCGCATACTCAAGGTCGAGAAGTCGTTCTCCAGGCAACATATCCACACCGCCATTACTTACATCCATCAGAGCTGTTTCCAGGATGTCGTCGATGGCATCCTCGTAGGTTGTTTCACTCACACCAGACTTCTTGCTGCCAGTGGCTCGGATGAGTTGGAAGAGCTTCCGGCAGTTACCAGATGCAGCTGCTGCTTCCATCTCATTAGCACGCTCCGACCACCAGGCTTCCCGGTCCTTACGCAAGCTTTGCCCGATTTCATTACGTAACAGCCTTCGTTTGTGGTCAAACTCACGGTCACCCGGAGTAGAACGACGGGCTTCCATCAGTTGTAAGGAGCCAGAAGAAACCCAGTGCTTGTAAGCGGGACGTTTCGCGAAGCCGCAAGCGGCTTTACTCGCCATTTTCATGGCGTCGTGAAGATGCAACCAAAGTTCATCTATACTTTTCGGTGGGATGGTAGCTAGCCTAGAGGCTAGCTCCGCTCGATACTTACTTGCAACAGGAGTTGCAGCCAGTTTACTAATATCAATCCGTTGGTGGTGGTCAATCCTTCGGCCACTGAAAAGTAAGGTGAGATTGGCGCAGACCAGGGCATGATCACACTCCAGATAGGTACTCCAAAAGGAGCGGCAGTCTTGTACACAACCACGCCAGCGGTAGCTGATCGCGATGTGATCAATCTGAGTCCAGGCTTGGGATGCAGAGGGAGGACGCCAGGTGGCACACCGGCGATGACTGTGCCGGAAGTTAGTGCTGGCCAGAAACAGGTTGTGGTCTGTGCACAGTTGCAGCAAACGGTCCCCGTTATCTGTCCTGCGACCAACAAGTCCCCATCGGCCACCTAAACCACTCTCTTCTGTGCCTAGACGCCCGACCTGTGCATTCAAGTCTCCGGCTAGTACTACAATATCTGTCGAACGCGCTTTCTGGAGAAGAACAGTTAACTGGTGGTAAAACTCATCCTTGATTGCATCCGGGCTGCAATCTGTCGGGGCATAGGCGGAGATGACGAAAAGACATCGTTTCTCACGCCGATTTCTTCTCACTTTGATGGAACTTTCTAATCTAACAGCACATAACCGACTGTTAATAGGGATCCAATCGATTAGTGCTGCCTCAGCTCTAGCGCTTAGTGCGACACCAACGCCTGCAAGACCAGACGAAGATGCCACAGGGTCCCCGGATAAGCGCACGTGGAACAAGCTTTTCGAGGCGACAGATGGAGAGCGGATTTGTAGTACTTCACTAGAGTCTTGAATACGGAAACAACAAACTGAATAACATATCTTTAAAAGTTACAATCCACCATACTAAGAAACATTATTTTATAAATTGTTGAGCTAACCTGTTCTTTGACTGGTTGAGGATAGTTCGACTCCAATACACCAATTATAAATTGAGTGATGTTCCACCAATGCTCACTCACCACAGTGTCTATGAACTTGAGGAAAGATTGGGCAGAAATAAAAATGCTGATATATATATATATATATATATATATATATATATATATACGAGAAAAGAGTATTTCGGGTGTTAAGACTATCGGCAATTGATAATTCTCGACTGCCTACACCATAGAAGTTGACATTTTAGAGTAGTTAAGAAAGAAAATTAGTTTACATTTTACTTCCAAAAACCTTCGTATTGATGCGACTAAGTTGATTGTATAACACAAATATTACTAAGGCTTCGACTTCAAAGTACGCTGAGAAGGGACTAGAAAATAAAAAGGGGTAAAGTGAAATAGAAGAGCAATGACGTTTTGTAGGAGTGATTGTTGTGCTTCTGTATATGGGTCAGTGATCCTGAATAAAATTTTATAATGAAAATCTTTATTTACATGATGAATGAAAGTCAAGCAGTTTCTAACTTGACAATATCAACGCAGAATGTGACTTTATTTTCCGAGAAGTACAGGAGACTAGTTAGATAGAAAATTTAGTGGTTGAAGCATTCTGCTTTCAATAGATCACAGATCCTTAACCCCACTTTATCTAATACACTTTCTCCGCCCTTTTACTAAAATCAGCTTTCATATATAAACAGTGTGGATCGAATCCAAGTATGTATTTAGCCCTTTATTAAGAAAATAAAACATTATTAATAGGATCACTATTGTATCAATTAAACAAAAGTGACATTCTGAAACTTACCTGTTCATCACGAAGTAGATTGCGTAAAAAGCTCAAGGTTTGATAAACAATTAAAATATGAATTTGCGCACTATTTTTCGAAAACTTAAATTTAGATTGTGTATTATTCGACAAAAATAATTGATGCTGATTATAATGATGAGCAGTATTGAAACGATTGAACAAATTTAAATTTGTTTGATATTTTTGTTTCGAATGATCATCATTGATTTTTTCATTGCTTTGATTACATTCACCAATATATTTCATTTCAGTACCTTGATGTGATACCATTATTCCTGGTATTACAGGAACTCTGCAGAAAACAATAATAATAGTTAAAAAATGAGGAAATTATTCATAGCTTTAACAGTTAGCTTTTCTATGAGATTGTTTTGTCACCGAACAACATTAACTGAAGGACCATTAGAAACTAGGGAGTTTTGGACAGCTGTTTTATGCTGGCTTCAAACCTTTCAGGTAATGTTTACGAGTAAACTCCATCAAGAATCGAACCTTGAATATTTTAAGTCTTAAGTAGTAAGTGAGTTACCGCTAGGTTATGGTGTGAAAACGCCAAGCTAGAATACTGAAGCACTCGTCAGTCAAAGGTCACCGTTTTTAGTGCTTCTTCAGCTAACATCAATGATCCATGGTGAATATTATGACCTATTAATTGAAACAATCTCTCTAAATTTTCCTGTACACCACCAAACGAAAATATATGTCGGTTTACTGCTTACTTGATTCAACATTACAGAGTAGTATTTTTTTTACCATTTTTGTAACAAACGTTTGACAGAAGAAGGGTTATTACCTGTCCCCTCTGTCAACATTTTATGACAGTTATTAATATACACAGTTGAATTATATTAGGAGAAAAACAAGTACATATATTCACTCTTAAACAAGAAGTTTGTTTTTCTCCTGTGATTGTTGTATGTATTCTCTATATCTGTGTCTCTCTTTACACGGATCCACTGAATAGTGTCAGTTTAAAAAAATCGACAATTTTCCGTATGATTTGTAAAAAGAACAACAGAATGAATAACAAAATGTATTGTTCTTCCCCAATATTAATTTATTAAGGAATATTTTCAGAAAAATTATGATTTTTATATAGATAATTGACTAATAAATAGTTTGAATAAGCATGGTTATTTAGAGAGGCTTGTGAAGATGGTAAATGTACACCTAATTTACACATAATTTGTGTCATTGCTCGTATTTTTTATAACTTCATTTAGGTTGTTTAGGTTAACTGTAGAATTTTCTGTACACTTTCAGCATGTTACAGTGATAAGCATTCATAGAATACACATGTTACCCGAATCACTCATCGTTCTAACTTTATCAGTTGCCATACCTACAGATTACTAATGCACTTATAACATACATTTATAGCTTGTACTTTACAACATTACCTTCGTAAACATATGTTAGTATCTAGGAGTATATTTCAAACTTTGGAGTGGTGCTTACCTCACCATCATTGTGGTGTTATTTCTGACCTTGGGAACACCAGAATTATTTAGTGAACTAACGTTTGATTTTTCATCTCAATTCAATATCGTAAGTAACGATATATATATATATATATATATATATATATATATATATATATATATATATTCATCATCTTTATAATAACAATTTTTCTATTCATACACAAAGCATTCACCAAATGGTAATACGAATTTTGGTAATCGCTCTGTAAAGGTTTATTCTGATTGACCACGAAAATCTGAACGGACATTAACCGCTATTAATACTGTTTCTGAGTTCAGATTCCCAGGATATGGAGTAAAAGACTCAAGGTTCTGGTTTGCCCAAATTGAAGCTCTGTTTTAAGCATGAGAAATTCGATCAAAGGCGACCAGATATGCACAAATAGGAGGTGTGTTATCGATCGTGATTGCCGCAAAAGTTGGGAAGCTAAGTGATCAAGTGCCGGAAGACATCCGGTACGATAAACTCGAGGCAGAAGTAATTTGACGTACTTTATTCTCCAATGAGAAGACTACAATAGTTATTAACTGAGTGGATCGTTTGAAATGGTAAACCATCACAACTAAGATATATAAAACAACCAGGGGCATCATATAAGTTAGATGAAAAGGTATCAAAGCAAATGTAGCCTCAACAGTTGCTGTACAACGTACGGTAGATCCTAAGTGTAAGAGGTCAGCCAATCATTCTTGAGGACCTGGTCGATATGATGGACAAAATGATGGAGATGTACCCAAACCGTCGTAAAATAATTATCTAACAGACTGTCATCGTGATCGTTAGGATATATATATATATATATATATATATATATATATATATATGGTTTAATAACTGGAAAACGTTTTACTGCTTATACGTAAACTAAACTGTTATTATAAACTGTGTTCAATCTAATACAACAGGAAAGCGTACCCGTTTTTTCGTTATCATACGTTTCTCTTTGGTTTGTGTTTTGGTGTTATCCTACAATTGTTTAACATTAAGTGATATATGATTAAGATTTTTTAAACCAAATACTTTACAGTCATACAAAAACAAATGACAGAGAATAAAAAGGCCAGACCGAGTTTTAATTCCATGTGATATCTGTTTAATATAACATTCTTTTGTAATTCTTTTGTAATTCAGTGAAACAATCATTTTGTACTTTTACTACTTCAGTGAAGAATAATATTCATTAATTAATCATAAAATGTTGGTAAAATCTGTGTGTCGACGAGTGTATCTAGTTCGCGATACCAAATCAAAACAATGAAATAAAATTAGCACGTGAACGGGAAGCGAACCAAAATAATTGCAGTAATAACGAGAACAAGAAAGACTAGTGACTAAGAAGATAGAACGCAAAAGTATGTGGGAACTAGAATACTGGAACTAAAGATACAGAAGAAGACTGTGTGAATGCATTATTCGATCATGATTGATTTTGAGCTATGTCACTCAACGTCTCCAATTACAAGCCCTAATTATCCCATTATATATATCACAGATAGATTTTATACAATTGTAATGAACGTTTTGAAAGGTATATAGAATCTATTCGAAGAACGGTAGAGGAAACACATGCAGAAATACGTTATGACTGGGTAAAATTTACATACACACACAAAGGAAAAAAGACAGCCTACCTATTTCCTGGATTCATACCGGAATTAGTTATTTTCACATTATCTTCCCATTCATTTTTCATGGGAAACGAAAAATTAAATTCATTATTTGGTATCGATGAAGCCAATTGTAATAATTCTAACCATACACCTTTATTAACTAATTCATGAAAAAGATTTATACAAACACTTGAATCAGCGGTATGCAATAAATTACTCAATCCCCATATTCCATTCAAATGTAATACTGGTATAATATCATGAAAATGATTTGTCATTATTGTTGCTGGACTATTTAAGTTAGATTTCGTTATTGAAGGACGAGAAAAGTTATCATTAGTATTAGTATTATTACTACTACTGTCATTATTATTATTGTTAAAATTATCAGCATCGTATGTACTGATTGATTGACTGGTTGATTCAACTTTAGATATTAACAATGAAGATGATGATTTTACATTTCCAATTGTCAGTAAACGGATGAAAACATTGATGAAATCATCAATTAAAGCCTGGAATAGAAATATATATGTATATACGTAACTATATGGACATCTACATGAGCATGTTTAAAATAATTTCATTGACCAAAAAGGAGATATTTGTATATAATTTAGAGCAAAAAAAGTGATAATCGTTATTTATCAGAAAAGAAAACAGATCAACTAGTCATAATCAACGTCTGATCTGATATGTGTAAAAACAACAGTATGAAATACAAACTATAAAATAAATTCATAGTGAACTGTACAAAAGAAGTAAAAATGACGTTTCTAGTGTATAATCATATTTGAGTATATCCAATACGATAACAATGTTAATGAAAATCAAGTTGATCGTTACAAATCGTATAGTCAGATTATTTAGATTTAGAGACGATTACAATCATTGTATATGTACTCCGATTATAATCGTATATATCTTTCATAATGATGTTACATTCCTATGTTTGCGAATAATTCATGTAGTTTTAGCAGTAAAATGTAGCTTTCATCTTTGAAGAGGTATATAACCTAGGTAAACTGTCGAATACTGTTTTGACTATTTGATTGACTATGAAAATATAAAATAAGTTTGGTGTCCATTATGCTACCATCAAATCGAGACAGTTAATCTGACAATGGTAACAGTTCTACACACATTCACATCATATTACAATATCGTCTATCCAAGACCAGATTAAAGTTGCACAGATAGGAAATTAATTGGTTGTATTAGTAATAATTGTACGGAAAGTTAGAACCGATCAATAACAACTTGTGATCAAAAAAAAAATCACAGACAATGATCCTCCCCTAATTTCCCTGTAATTATGATACGCATAAGAATACTATAATGTGCTAACAATTACTGACAGATGTTTAAATTAAGCACTGTCTTGTAACTAGAAAGTAAATTTTTAGTTACTAACCTTACCGTCATTATCATGAAAAATAGACAAGAATGTGAGATTATTTATGTTTAAAGAATGATATATACACGAAGAAATACTTTCACTCGTTTGAATGTTTATAATGGAATGATAGTTTGAGTTTATTTGCTTGTTTATTTTTAAAAAGGAAAACGACTAACAAAATATCGAGAAACTCGATTAACAAAAGAATAAACGAAGTAATTTTGATAAGTTCTCATTGACAAAATTTTACGATTCGTTAAGATAAATAGTAGCATCGTAATGTGTTAAATATGCATTCCTTTCCAATTTTCCTATTTCACCACAGTTGTATGGTTTTGTTCACTTTAAAAATTTTCCTTCTGAGTAAGTACTACAATCAAATTGTTAGAGCTGACCTAGCAGTCAATAACTTATATTCTTAAATATGTTTCTAATTAAAACAATTGTACAGATTCAAATAATATTTAAGAAAAACATTTCATTGAATTTCAGGTTGTTTATTTATTGAATTTATGCATATAAAGTGTGGAGAGATTTTTTTTAAAAACTCGTTGAAATACTTTGTGCTGAGAATTTTGTATTGTGCCAAAAACATAATATTGAATAAAGCCACTACGGCATGCCTGAGAAAATAGTCAACATCATACGGAATTCCTATAATGAACTAAACTGCAAAATCATGCATGAAGGACAGTTGACAGACTCGTTCGAGGTAAAGACCGGTTTCAGGCAAAGCTGTTTACTCTCACCTTTCTTTTTCTCCTGGTGGTCGACGGGATTATAAAGACGTCAACATCTAGAGTGAAGCGCGGGATACAGTGAACAGACAGGATACAACTGGACGATTTAGACTTCGCCGATGATCTGGCTCTTCTATCACATACGCAACAATAAATGCACGAAACGACCAGCGCAGCAGCAGTAGGTCTCAATATACATAAAGGGAAGAACAAGATCCTCCGATACAATACAACATGCACCAATCAAATCACACTTGATAGAGAAGCTTTGGAGGATTTGAAAACCTTTACATATCTGGGAAGCATCATTGATGAACACGGTGGATCTGATGCAGATGTGAGGGCGCGGATCGGCAAAACAAGAGCAGCATATTTACAAGTGAAGAACATCTGGAACTCAAAACAATTGTCAACCAACACCAAGATCAGTATTTTCAATACAAATGTCAAGACAGTTCTACTGTATGGGGCAGAAACTTGGAGAACTACAGGTGTTTATTAACAGTCGCCTCCGCAAAATACTTCGGATCCGTTGGCCAGACACCATCAGCAACATTCTGTGGGAGAGAACAAACCAGATTCCACTCTGCGGAGGAAGAAGCGATGGAAGTGGATAGGACACACATTGAGGAAATCACCCAACTGCATCACAAGACAAGCCCTCACATGGAATCCTGACGGCCAAACGAGAAGAGGAAGACCAAAGAACACATTGCGCCGAGAAATGGAAACAGATATGAGAAAAATGAAAAAAATTGGATAGAATTAGAAAGGAAGACGGAGGACAAAGTGTTATGGAGAATGCTGGTCGGCGGCTTATGCTCCATTGGGAGTAACAGGCGTAAGTAAGTAATTATAATGATAATAATAATAAAAAGGATAGTTAAGTCGCAATAATTTTTTGCTAAACAATGAGTCTATAACACAATAAATTTGTTGTAAATGTAAGTAATCGGAAATACCAATTAATTTGTTACGTATGAATAAAGAAAAGACACTTTGAAATTATATCGTGAAAATTCGTAAGAAAAAAAGAACGAATAATTCACTTACTTCTTTTAATGGACACACTGGAAGTACTTGGTTGATTAAGGTGGATGAAGCTGCTTCGACTAGTTTCGCACTTAAATAAGAACCTTTAATTGTATTCGGCAGATTATCATCAATTATCTAACAAAATTTCACATAGAAAAACACAATAATCAATATATATAACTTTTCTTATATTTAAAGCTTTTCTTGAAGAGTGATTTAATATGTAGATTATATTCGTTAGAAATTAATTCTAGTTGAGGGTACAGTTTAAAGTCAGGAAGCATTTGACAACCGAGTTGACCAGCGTAACCATATACTAAGGATGAAACAATTGTCCAGTACTCATTGATTTAGAATAGACACCCCCAATTGTGACCAGTCTGTGGTGAACATATATGCTAAATATTTGTTTATATAGATTGTTACAGGAATTTTATCTGTATAGATAAAATAATGCAGAAAATTCTTAATGATTTTTAGCCTGGGAAAGATAACAATACAGAAAGTTCAGCCATCTGGGAACCAAATACATTGAGTTGCAGGTATCAATGTTAAGGTCGAATTTGATAGTTTCACATAAATTGAGTATTAGGCATAAAGTTAATAATAAATATATTTTTTGTTATATCCCGATGAGTAGGAAATTGTATTACTGACGTTACGTGACTTAATGTGAGCCACTTCTTCAAAGTAAATAAAAACACACTTATTTTCATACATTTATACAACTAAACGGTAACATGTAATTGAACAGAGTTACAAGAATTTAGGTGAAATTTAACCACAAAAGAAGAAGCGACAGTCTTCATCGACTGTATTAAAATAATATATTTGAATAATAAACAGTGGACCCAAGATTGTTTCGTTCGCTTATTTAGTATCAGCTTGATAATGTATATCGTGAATTTTTTAAGTTGAAAAAAGGGGATATCTTAATGGGTAAACCGATTTCCATAAATCTGTTCAGTTATCATTAGTTGGTTTGAACGAATTAACAGTCTTCTTTAGCACAATATAATCAATCATACGAATACTATTTTAATTCCATTGAGTTTATTTGCTTAGTGAACGTAAAGCTATAAAATAAAGTTTCGGAGCAAACCTACAGCTAATCCTAACATAAATTAGACAGTTCCTATTGATTTCTTCATTTGAATTCACTGTTTGCAGTTTTTAGAATCAAGAAATCAAGTGTATAGGAGTTCACGTGAAATATATACGAATATACATGACCTTATGTTTAAAAAAACTAAAACAAGATATGTTAGAAAAACTTGGATTAATGGATATACCCATCAACAGCGTTTGTAACGTGTCGTGTCCATCATCAGACACCACTTCATATGCAAAAAAGACAGGTGAAAAATTTCTAGAAAATTTAAAGGGAAAATTCGCCGCTGTTTTCCAGAATAGCCTTGGTCACTGCACTAAAGTGAAAGCTAATTTACCCCTGAAACCAGATGCCAAACCCATTTTTCGTCCGAGACGTCCTGTGCCATATGCCGCTCTTGAATTAGTCGATCAGGGACTTAATCGTTTGCAGCAAGCTGGTGTAATCCAACCGGTTAATTACTCTGCATGGGCCGCGCCGATTGTATTGATTAGAAAGCCCAATGGAACTATCCGCATATGTGCTGATTTCTCAACGGGTTTAAATGCTGCATTGGATGAACATCAATATCCGTTACCAGTTCCTGAAGACCTGTTTGCTAAACTAAATGGTGGTACATGTTTCACGAAAATAGACTTTTCGGATGCTTATCTGCAAGTGGAGGTAGATGACGATAGTAGAGAGCTTCGGACTATCAACACTCATAGAGGGTTATTTCAATACACCCGCCTACCATTCGGCGTCAAGACCGCACCTGCCATCTTCCAGCAAATAATGGATACAATGCTAACTGGCATACCAGGTGCATCAGCTTATCTAGATGATATCATAGTTATGGGTTCCAATAACAGTGAACTTTCCGATCGTCTACACCAAGTTCTCAACCGAGTGTTGGAATATGGTTTCCAACTACGTGAAGAAAAGTGTATCTTCTTCATGCATTCGATTAAATACCTTGGTTTCATCCTAGATAAGAACGGTCGACGACCAGACCCTGCCAATATAGAAGCCATTCAGAAAATGCCCGTGCCAACTGACGTCCCTTCATTAAGGTCATTCTTGGGATTAGTTAGTCACTACAGCACATTCTTGCCTGAAATGCATCGAGTGAGAGGTCCTCTGAATGAATTACTATCGAACGATAAACCTTGGCAGTGGTCAGCAGAATGTCAAACATCCTTTGACAAAGTCAAGTCAATGCTCAGCTCAAAGCTTCTCTTGACACACTTCGATCCCAGCTTGGAAATTGTTGTCGCATCTGATGCATCTAGTCACGGAGTTGGAGCAGTTATACCACACGTGTTTCCAGAAAAAACAGAAGACAATCGCCCATGCTCCCAGATCACTTACCCCAGACGAACGCAACTACAGTCAAATCGAAAAGGAAGCCCTGGTAATCATTTTTGATGTCAAAAGATTTCATAAAATGCTTTACGGTCGTAAGTTCACTCTGTTGACAGACCACAAACCAATGACTGCAATATTCGGTTCCAAGAAAGGGATTCCTGTTTACACAGTTAACAGACTACAACGATGGGCAACAATGCTTTTGAGCTACGACTTTAACATAAGGTATCAATCAACCAATACTATCGGTCAAACCGATGCCCTCTCACGATTTATTGGAGTTCAACATCCTGGACCGGAGGACATGATCATTGCCTCGATATCAGTTGATCCAGAAATACGGAGTGTAGTAGCAGCGGCAATTCGAAACTCTCCAGTGTCGTCAGATGAAGTCAGAAAAGACTCTTCGAGACCCTGTTCTACAAGAAGTTAGAAAGTTCCACCTAGAAGGGTGGCCCTCAAAGATCAGTTCAACAGAGCTTCAGCAGTTTTATCAGCGCAGATTATCTCTTTCAATCATCGACGATTGTTTTATGTTTGTTGAACGTGTCATAATCCAAAAGAAGTTGCAACCAGTAGTCCTCGAACAGCTACATGCAGGACATCCCGGAATAAACCGCATGAAAGCTCTAGCACGATGTTATGTATACTGGCCACAATTAGATACCCAACTCGAGCAGCTATCCCGTTCGTGTACAAAATGTGCATTGGCAGCAAAAACACCACGAAAAGCAGAGTTTCAATCATGGCCGATACCACAGTTACCGTGGCAGCGTATACATTTAGACTTCGCTAGTCCATTCCATGGACAAACTTACCTTCTGGTAGTGGACGCATACAGCAAGTGTCCGGAAATTTTCATCATGGAACATCAAACAGCAAGCTGCACAGTTAGAAAACTGCGGCAACTATTCAGTCGTTTCGGGGTTCCAGAACAAATAGTCAGCGACAACGGCACACAATTTACATCATCTATCTTTTCAGAATTTTGTCAGCAGAACGGAATCAGGCACATCCGAACACCTTCATTCTATCCGCGATCGAATGGCCAGGTAGAACGTTTTGTTGGTACGTTCAAAAATGCTCTAAAAAATCAAGAGGGGAGGGTACCCCCGATGAGATTTTAGAGAGGTTCCTGTTTATCTACCGTTCTACACCGAACCCTCAAACAACAAATGGGGTCTCTCCAGCGGAAGCGTTACTTGGCAGAACAGTAAGGACACATTTCGATGTCATCCGTCCGACGCCAGCTCGTGAGCCCCAACGAAACTTATCGATGGAGAAGCAATTCAATCGACACCATGGGGCACAAAGACGATTGTTCACGGTGGGTCAAAAAGTACTTGCTATGGACTATCGTGGTAAACATCTTACGTGGACAGCTGGTCGGATCATGAGAAAGAAAAGGAATGTGGTTTATGAGGTGTCCGTTGGTTCAGAAATCTGGGTGCGTCATGCTAACCAACTGGAATCAACCTCGATCTCCAACAACGAAACGCAGCATAGATTACCTCTTGATGTTCTGCTAGATACCTTTGAGATCAAAACACCTGAAACAGACAGGACAGTCAAGGTGCAAACGAAGGATGATACAACGTCCTTATTACCTAGAAGGTGGACTAACCGGAAGCACAAACCAGTAAAGCGGTTGCAGTTGGACCCTAGCACCAGATCCTACGAATCTGCTCAAGGGGGAGGTGTTAGCGGGACATAGATTGGATTAAAGCATATTTCATGCACGATGGTGTTGCTGTGCGCTGATTGGCTAATTCTAAACTAATCAGAACTGGCAAATTATTGGAGAAAAATCTAGAAGCTTCTTATGTATATACTATAAATATATGAACGTTATTCAAATCAGTGATTCCTGTTCAAAGTGTTCTGATTTTGGGGTCTTGTCGAGTGTCATCGTATAAGAATACTAAGCAATAGGAATAGCTGGGTCGTTTATTAGCAAAATACAATTATAACATACGGCCGAGAGTGAGGAGAGTCCGCCTTCCCTCTCGAAATGCTCCTACACGGCCATGCGTATATAGCCTCTGCCAGGGAAGTCCTACTCACTGCATTCTCGTGGCGGGGGTGTTGTTTACGAAATTGAGAGGACGAAAAGCGAATGTCCGGCGCTTTAACCGGGTTGGTGGACACGGAAAATCCTCATTCCAAACCAATGATGCACATGGACTCCAGTATCCTGAAGGAACAGATGGCGTATGAACCAATCGTTGGTCACCGGCTACCATAGGACTGCATCTCCTCACGATGCTGCACTGCCTTGTGGGTTAGACCTTTAGGTCAAAGGCTCGGGGTGTGGCCCCCTAAGAAAACCATCTGCTTCGGTTTGGGCACCCGGGTAGTATCACAGCCCTCACACAAATAAATGATGACTTGTACTGACAATCCTAATTACACGCTTACTATATGCCAGACAATTTGCATTATTATTACTATTATTATTATTATTGTGTGGCGCACATGTATCTGGTGCCCTTTTGTACCAAAATGTATGTGTTTAAATAAATAAATGAAAAATTTAGAAATTTCGAGAGAATTTCTTCCTGTTGTTAACCAATTCAACTCCAAGTATGAATAGAATAGAAATTGATATATTGAAAGAGATAATAAGAAATTATTACACAGAAATAATTATGGTTTGGGTTAATTTACAGTTAGGATTTAAATATTAAAACTATGTCGATAATAATAATAGTAATATGATAATAATAATAATAATAATAATAATAAACTAACTTTTAGTAAATATCGTCCAATTGTTTGATTTTTAAAAAGTGTATGATGTAAACTGAATGATCGAGACAGTACATGTAATAGAACAACAATAGAATGCTAAATATATTTGGATAGAAAGGAAAACAAAATGGAGACAAAAATTGAGAATATGATCGACTAACAGTTTAATGGAGAGAAATGATGATTTTTGAATTCATATAGATGTTGTGTTAAAAGAAGGGACAGATGAAAACCGCTGAAAACAATTTACTCTATATATTTGGTCACATCTTTATTCATTTCTTTAAAATGGTTAGAATACGGTTAAATAACAAATGTAATGACCTATAAACGCTTGGAACCTGTAAATACTAAATCAAATTTACACTCGTGTCGTGACAAATACATATACAAATACATATATACATGATGTGACAAATTGATACAAACTATTATATGATCTTATCTAATCTTCATGTGCGATTGTAACGTTACTGGTTACATTGTATGCATGCTTTTTTATTTCCATTTACCTATATTATTATTTGTCTATTTTCAAATATAAACTGATTCATGCTTAACTAAACACCTTTTGACTCACAATAGTCAAAGGTCATGCTACGTTTATTTATTCATTCTCACCGTGTCTAATATTATACGCATGAAATATGTACACCAGCAACACTATTCGTATTCTGCCTTTTATTTATACGTTGTAATAACATGTTAAGTAGCAAACATATGAACGAATTTAGTAAGAATATGTACCGCATCAAACAGGGTAACCAAAGCAGTGAGGCCTTTAGTTAAAAAAATTGAAAAATTGTTCATAATTACTATTAGGCTAAAGTAACCATAGTTTAGATGAATTGAATATAAATGAGTAAGGTCACCAAATGGAAAAAAATGAATTTCATACCTGAAATTGCAATACAAGATTTGCATTTTCACTACCCAATGACTTTAAATGCATCGCAAAGTCTATAAGTTTTTTGCACATCGTTAGTTCACCAACCTAAAATGTCACAAGATGGAACAAAGAAAAGTGAGTTGAAAGGATAAATTAAAACTACACAGTAGTTCGTAAAACAAAAAAGCAGACATTCTAATCAACCATAGTTACATAAATTTGGATTTATATATATTTACTGATTAACTGAACTGGCCACTTCACACGTCATATGTTTGTCGGCGCAGGTGGGTTGATGATGAGTGACAAAATCTCAATAAGAGAAGAGAAAAGGTCAACTGTTTTAAAAACTTGTGTCACAAAGGAGACAAGATATCTATCGGTTTATCAAGTGGAGTATATTATGAAGAAATCTGCAATGCATTCTTTTATCAATACCGCAAACCGATCTAAGTTAAGAGTCTACTGAAAATCAGGAAGCACAAGACAGCTGCTTCGTCCTAGAATGGGACTCTTGAGTAGCATGTATTTACGACTCCACCAGTGGAGGATCAGGCCGAAGATCCTAAGGCAATGACGTAAGGCCATAAAATAAACATGATTACAGAGTATTAACTAAACTAGATCACAATTAGACGATAGGACATTAAGATGCAATAAATTAGATTTTGAAATGAAATTGACGAATGTTTTCTTGCTATTCTGAATTCATCAGTACAACACACATTTCAGTGTGTCGATATTCGGAATAAAACTCAGACTCCATAATCATCGCCTCAAAACAATAAACCCTTATACTATAAACCAAAATATCATAACTAATAATCATTGTTACATCCATGCATTCAATTGTGCATGTATATATATATATATATATATATATATATATATATATATATATATATATATTTGTAACAAGATAGCACAATTCTTAATCACAATTAAATCTGCTTTATATATAAAAGTAGAAACAAAAATCAAGAAGTCGGTTCAAATCATATTAGAGAAGACAAAAAGAATACATCAGTTTTTGGCGCCATAAGAAAAACAATAACATTAATTGAATGAATGTAGCTCTAGGGCATTACAGATGTATCAAACATTAATCGTCAAATATGATTCAATGTATGTAAATTGTAAAATTATACTCTATATGTATATTTATTTTCTTTAGTCAAACATGAATATATTAAAGGGAACAACACATGAGCCATATATAACAATAATGCTCTTGAACGTTAACAATACATATTCAATTTTTCAAAAGTATCTAGATAAATAGGAATTATTCTCAGAATATTATCATATGACTTTTTAAAAAATGTTGGCCAAACTTTACTACGAGATTATTTGGAAATATAGCGATTATATCACTTGGTAAATTTTTACAGATTTGAATTTCTATTAAACTTGAGTAATCTTTCCCTCACCTAGGGAGGTGCAGGAGTTGTTTTTCTCCCGGTAGTTGGTCACTTTTAAGAGTATTGTAAATGCATTTATGAGGAACAGTTTTTTTTGTTTAGTTCAGTATTCTTTGGTCTATAAAACAATATTTATCTTATAAACAAAGATGGATAGTGGCTAGTAGTGGAATCCAGGACGCGCGTTTCGTCTTATTTGGGAGTCGTCAGATGGATGTACCTGCATCTCAGAGTTGATGCTCACTGTGGGACTCGAACCCAGTACCGTCCTCTTCAAATACCATCGCGTTATCCACTCGGCAACTGAGTCCTGATAGACACTTGCTTGTGTAATAGGGTGGAGTTTAAATTCACTTGGTATTGTTTGTTTGAATCTTCCAATTGATGCTTAGGACGGCAATCGATCAGTCTCTTATTGGCTCAGTAGCTGAGTGGACAACGCGATGGTGTTTGCAGCGAACGGTACTGGGTTCGAGTCCCGAAGTGAACATCAACTCTGAGATGCAAGTACATCCAGCTGACGAGTCCCAAATAAGATGAAACGCGCGTCCAGGATTCTACTGCAAGCCACTAACTATCTTTGTTTATAATGCTCGTGAATTAAGGCTATATCGAGGCAATACGCACAGTATGCACATACATCAATAAGAGACTGATCAATTGCAGCCCTGAATATCAATGGAAAGATTCAAGCAAACAATACCAAGTAAATTTAATATTTATCTTAGTAGATGTTTAGTAATGAAAGAAGTGAAACTGATAGTAATTCACTGTGAAGTCAAAATCTATCATCCTTTATTTACGTTTTACATTTACTAAAGGTGAATGTATTTTTTGTTTTATTAAATTTTCTGGCGGGGGGGGGGTACAGCAGGTTTCATTCAATCAAGCTAGATAAACATTATTCGATCTGTCTATTCATAATAATGAAAAAATAGCCATCTCCTTACTTAAGGTGAATTATATATCAACTTTATGTAATTAACAGTTTAATACAGAATGTTCAGTAGCTCAAACAACAATCTAGTTAGATGACGATTTGATTAGATTGAACACGATATTTTAATGACATAAAAATTACAAACTGATACGTCTTGTACTTTAACGTATGGTACTAATTTTCCTAACCGCTTTCTAGTCGACTAATATCTCCAAAAGTTGAAATACGAACAAAAAATAAAAGGCCGGAACTAAGGAAAAAAGCTTTACTCTTAAGGTTAGTACATATACACACAGCATGGTTATTTATTGAACCAAATTTGACCATAAGATAATAGAAGCCTCTGAAAATTAACAATAACGTAAAATTTAATTTTCGAGAAACAAAAAACAAAAAATCATCAAAACCATTCTTCAATTTATAATTACTTACAAGTATTCGAGTGGATTCATGTCCAGATGCCAGACAAGAAAATAATTTAACCAGTGGAATTAAATGCTCCAAAAACTGTGTATGACTTTGCTGTATCATTGTGAAGTATAAACATATACATAAAAGAAATAAAAAAGAAGGAATTATAATGTCATATTTGTAAAACATGCTAACTCAGAACGATAACAATGATAATTTACCAGAATGTTTTGTTGTAGGCCTTTCTCTCTTTGAGTAATGGAGCAGATCTATTATGTTCGCATAATTTCGAAGAAAAGAGAAGATGCAAATAAAACTATGATCAAAGAAATATCCTGTATAAAATTAGTTATATCACTATTATTATTGTTTTACGACATGACAAAAAGACTGAACAGACTTCAAATTGAAATATTATTATTATATTAATGACATCAATCCTTACAAAAGGCAAATAAATGGTGCTTTGAGTAAAAAAAAAAATACATGGGCAATGATAATTAAAACCGAATATCCTAAAGATACCAATACATTGAATTAGATTGATGAGTCTAGGATCGTAATATTAAAGAGAGTTTAAGTTTTACGATGTAGATTAGAAATTGTGATCTGTCTAATTTCTTTTAAGATGCCGAAGAATATTACAACCCCTCACACAAAACATTATGCTCAAAAGACGAATGAAATAAACTTATATTTAACAGATAAGTAATAGTATTACCATTTTTCCACATTATCACCTAGGTACAACAAATATGCTCATAAGTGCTTGTTGAAATGTGAATCTCATAATGAAATGTTATTTGCTGTTTGCTTTAAAATAGTAATATCCATTGGGAAAATCAATGAACAATAATTATAATGTAAGTAATCAAGTAATATTTGAAATACTCCTTATATAAGTGATATATTTATGTTGAACATGTGTTGAAAGATGGACACTATCGACACCAACTGTAACAAATACTGATAAAACGATAAACAATTAAATCCTTCCCACTTTTGTGAAAGCAACATCATCACAAACAAGATCAGGATTAATTCATTCGCTAAACATTGGAATGTTGAGAGGATATGATAAAATCTTTACCACTCATATTTAACTTTTACATAATTTTTTTATATTCGGATTGACCTGTACAATCATCAAAAGTTGAGTTTATACAAAATAAAGACAATTAAGTCAGTAGACGATTTACCACTTAAATATATTATAACCGACAAGTACTATAAACAGATAATATCTATACATTCACAAATATCTTAATATAATTTTACTGTAGTAAAACTGCCGTATTTACAAAGAGTAATCTGCAGCTCTAACAGGCTTTCTCCTGGTACTAGTGGACTCTGAAAAGAAGCTGATCGGTTTGATTTGTTGTTAACCGCAGTAATTTCTAAGACTCCACTACCTTTCATCAACTTGAAATTGATACAGACAATGGTGTTATCTAGAATGACAATGTAATACACTTCGAAAATTATTTACAGATTAAAGAACTCTATAAAACTACTAGTTACTTATAAAGATATAATTATTAAACTATTACACATAAACTAATTAAATAAATTATATTAAATTATTTTAAGTGAAAATGTAAAACATACAGTATCAGATGCTTCTTGAACAGCTTTTAATAAAGATGTAACACGATAGTCTACTTCACGTACAAACGAATTAGTATATACAGTCCACATATGCAATTCTGGACTTTTATCCAAAACAAGAACTAGAACATGACATACCCATGTCATTATACGTGTTGCTTCTAAATGAAGACAACTTTCTGTAAGTGGTTGAATGATCTGAATAGAAAACAAAAATGAAAATTACAAGACATTTATGTAAAAAAATTATCAGTTTATTCTATAATAGCACAGGTTATAAAGAAAAAAAGGAAAATATCAACTTACTGTAAAAAATTATCTTAATATGATAAAGATATTGTACTCTGAGCAATTGAAAATTTACAATAAGAAAGTAAATATGCAATTTTATGAAATAACCACTATGTTAGTAGGAACAAATATTTACTAGTATAACAAATATGAAATGCAACTTACCAATGGATCATAGGTTTATGAGCTCAGTTATGAAATCTGTAGTCAAATAATTGAGAACGTATATACACTAACTAAAAAGTTATCTATTCATGTGAGGATGGAACTTGGCTGTTAAGCACCATAGAATATTTGAAAAAATTGAATTTTCCAGTTATCTGATAACCAGATTATTCTTAAATGACTCACAAAGTATATGGAACAATTAGTAGCTATGATTATCCAAAGATTACTATTGACTTATAACTATGTGTAATAACATCTGAAACTACTAATTCATTTGAACAAGATTGACTATATACTAACTAGACGAGGTATGTACCGATCATATATGTGCCTGGTCCTACGTTGTAGCTGACTGACTGATTTATACTAACTAGAAGTTTGCATACTCAGCTTATGAACCAGGTTCATTGCAAAGTACAACATGGTACTACACGTACATATGATCTGTTACTGATTGAAAAAGCAAGATCCTCAAATACAACACGGAGAACGCCAACCCAATCACACTTGATGGCGAAACTCTGGAAGAGGTGGAAACATTCAAGTACTTGGGGAGCATCGTTGATAAACAAGGAGGATCGGATGCAGATGTGAAGGTGAGGATTGGCAAAGCAAGGGCAGCATTTTTAAAATTGAAGAACATATGGAACTCAAAACAACTCTCAACCAATTTCAAGGTCAGAATCTTTAATACGAACGTCAAGACAGTCCTACTGTATGAAGCTGAAACGTGGAGAACTACTACGGCCATCATCAGGAAGGTACAAGTATTTATAAACAGTTGTCTACGCAAAATACTCAACATCCACTGGCCGGATACTATAAGCAACAGCGTTTTATGGGAGAGGACAAACCAGCTTCCAGATGAAGAGGAAATTAGGAAAAGACGTTGGAAGTGGATCGGACATACATTGAAGAAATCACCAATGTGCATCACGACTCAATCCCTAACTTGGAATCCGGAAGGGAAGCTGAAAAGAGGAAGACCAAAGAACACATTACTCCGAAAAAAAAGAAGCAGATATGAAAAGGATGAATAACAAGCGGAAAGAACTGGAAAGGATTGCCCGGGACAGAGTTGGATGGAGAATGCTGGTGAGTGGCCTATGCTCCTCCTTCAGGGGTAACAGGTGTAAGTAACTGATTGAAAACTAAACGTATAAATAAACGGAGTCATTAGCTGTACTTTAGAACAGGAATAAACCATTAAGAATTATCAAACAAATAGATAAACATATCAAACTAGAACGGAATATGAAGTTGAATCTTGACGGTTATATCTCTCTTATTCAAACTATCAAAGACCTTATCAAATAATACCATGCATTGGTCTGATTACCCTTGATGTTCTTCAATGTAATTTTATCTTCATTACCATAGCCACTCCTGTTGTTGCGCGTTCATAACTTCATCGACTGAATTTAACATCGTTTTTTTTAAACATTTTGTCCAGCCTAACATGTGTGGGCTTTGCTGCCTTATTAAACATGTGCGATGGTATATCACATGGTCTAATTATCCAATCACAATAATTCACACGAGAAGGAATACGAAAAGAACATTGGAATCTTCCTAATGACGTCTATCTAATTACCAACAACAGTTTGATCACAGAAACAAAAGAAACATGAAATGATTTAAAAACAATCAGTTTCTTGTGAGAAGAAATACAAAGTTGTACATTGTATTCAGTGTTTTCAATTTGAAAATTAAGTTTTATGTCCATATGATTTGAAAAGAAAATTTCGTGAATAATGCCAGTATTTGGGTGAATTTTTCAACTTAAATATATTTCCTTAGAAAAAAACACTTACTAGTAAGGCAATATCATCGCCAGTAATTCCTAGACCAGCAGAAGTGATTACATGAGTTCCGAATTGATCTATCGCCTCAACTGTCTGTGAATTAGCATATTGATTAGCTAAACGCCAATAAATTAAACCACGAAGTAGACCAGTGAGAGCAAAAGTTCCATGGTCTAATGGTACACAAGAACACGTTGAAATAGTTATACGACTATCAACAGGACATGATCCTAATTGTCTGTCAGTCGATGCAGTTGAATCAATAGAGTTCTGATGAAATTTTTGAGATGCAACTTCAGGATTAAATTCATTGGGAGATGTAAAAATGACAGTAGATGCACCTGATGAAGTATTATGGTTGGTAGGAGTATTACTAGTAGAATAAGTTGACGTGGTATTACCACTAAGAACTCTCTTGGTACGTTGATAACGCGGTGTTGAATAGCAAACATTAGGTAACACTGGAGGCATAGTTCCTGTTAAATGACTATAACAGGCAACTAATTTAATCGGTTCTTCTTCATTGTAAACTAAATATTAAGACAAAATAAAATTCATGATCGGAAATGAAAATACACATGAAAAGTTTGGTAAAATGTAGCTTATGCATGAAAAAATTTCATGAAATATATTTACATTAGAAACAACATGTAAATAGCGAATAGTTATGCCTTGAGAAGTAGAAATCGAAGAGAGACAAAAATCAGAGAATTTACCACATCGCAGTTATACAGTAACTAAGTAGGTTGTGATAATATTTACAGTGAAAATGCATTTTATTATCGATGAACATCAAGATAAACACACACACATTAAATTATAGTTATGAAAATCTATTTTTAGTGTATAGCCTGACCCAAACTTTTAAAATCTGTCACTTTTAAAAAAATAAGCAATAAAGGGGATTCTAGTACTGACTGAGATAGACCTAACCGTTGCTTTCACCTTGATGTGGTGGTCAGACTTGCCTATCGTGGTAAACCAATCGTACTATACTGGCTGGAACAATCGTTCATCAAGGTCCTATCATACCAAGCAGGTCGGTTGAAAGGCGGTAAAACTAAAAGCAGCAAACCTAAGTGTAATATCGCGTGAGTGTGTACGTGCCCAGTTGATATACATGAACGTGATAAAACCGCCATCTGGAGAGCAGTGTTTTATCGATCGGATCAATAATACACAAAGCCGCATGAGCAGTCTTAAGTACTTATCAGTCTTGTTATCTGCCTAGCCCAGCCAGTTAAGTCTAGAACACCAATAACAGCCTCTGCAATATGAATCATTATTCTCAAACATACTGGGTTTATATACCAAACAAACTGATCATATCGTATCATACAACGGAAAATAACATTCGTACAAGATTGGGACAAATGTGGCTGTGAATAGAGGGAATAGCAATCAATAGACTGGGTATAACTCAGGAATGGTAAATCGTATAATAATAGTCTATAGATCAAAATAAGGCTTATAATAAGAGGGACACGAATATGAATAGTTTAGTTACCTAGCAATTATACAATAAGAAATATACATATCATATTGGTCCATAAATAGTTCTCAAAGTTACCATTCAGATATCGCCACAGGATATAAGGCTAAGGTCCGAAGACTATAGTGACCAATGGTTGGAGACTCTGAGTGGCATAGCTCAGAATCGATCACAATAAATTAGGTGTACACACTTTTTGTCTCCCCTTAAATTGTGAGATAAAATTAATATAAACCTTTTTTCTACGAACTAATTTCTTCTTCGCTGATTATATCCTTATATGCAATCCTTTTTTATATATTACTACAACTGAAGTAACTACTTCTATGAATTTGATGTTAATATTGCTGTGCTAACGAGGTATGGTAACTTGGACCGATGCATATATGTGTTTGTTCTTAAGTTGCAGATAACTGACTGAGATATAGGCAATCGAAATTCCAACAACATTTTTTCATTTCAGGGACTTATCTTTTTACTGGATCAATAGGCGTGATTAAGTATTAGCGTGTTATCCTCTTTACTACAATTAAAGTATATGCTAATTCCGAGGACTTTAATTACGTAACAAAGATTTATCAAGGATAGATGATCAAAATTAAAATTCATTTGAAACAAGTAATTGTGTTGAAAGTTTGTGGTGAGTTAAATTTTTACACTTTTAGATAACAGTTGAGTGTGAAGAACTAATTCTAGAGAAGATAGATTGAGACAAAGAATATACCTTATCTACTCAGAGTTATCCATGGATTACGATAAGGATACTAGGCGGCCCGAAGATGTGCACTGATAAGTACTCCGGTACTAGAACGGAACAGTTGTCTAGTACTTCCCAGCCTTCAGCAATTGCTTAACATCAGTTCGTGATGAGAACTTAAATTCAACAATCTCAAAAAACCGTATAAAGTAGCAGTAACCAAGTGCTCACTAGTGACTGTTTGTGTGAGACAGTTCCAGGAATTTTCGAAAGCCATGACTAGTGCCATTAGACCAATTTGGGTGTGGGGAGATTATATATTAACTATTTTGAAGGATGATAGGATAGTAAAACGATCCAACTGAAATTCAACATGTACACCACTGGATGCCATCTTGATGGTCTAAAGCTTAAGTGCTCGCCGAAAGATCTAGAGGTTCCGGGTCCAATCCCTAATTAAATCGAGGCGCACTTTTGGAGAGTCACATGCCAGAAAGAAATAATTTTCCAGTACCTTCTGGTATTCAGTCGTCGTTTTACTAAGATCAGTCCGCGATTTAAACTACAAAAATGATAATAAAAGTAACCATGAATATCAGGCACGCTAGTGTCACATGAAAGCCAATCATTGAATTATTCTTTTTATAATTTAAAGAACAACTGATGACAATTCCACATACCATTGTGTTAACTCTCCAAAAGTTTAAAAGAACGCATTCAAAATAGGATAAGGTAATAAATCGTGAGGTATGATTTCAAAGCAAAAGTAGATATTTTACCTAGCAGGTATTTTATACTTCCTGTGATAAATATGAATAAACCAATAAAGATATATACGGGATTATTATAGAGATTAATAAATTGGAATCAGTTAACACATTTAAAATATTACCAAATAGTAGGTAATGTTCAGAGGTATGAGGAAAAGTAATGATAAAGTGTGTAGAGGCAAGACATTAAAAGATAGCAGTATTCCCAATAATAACAACGAAGACATTGCAAAGTAAGCTCATACATCTTGTATAACATCCAAGAAAGTAAATACTGAAGTTTATTTCGGAAGATTTGCAATGAACAGCTTTTAGTTGAAATTCCTTTTTCCAAAAAAAACACTACAGTCAGCTGTGCCATATATAGTGGTTGATATTAATGTACCAAAATATATAGAATGAAGCTTAAAAAATGTTAATTTTCTACTCTGGGTATCAATCAGTGACCTTCATTATGCAATTAGATATTAAACTGAAATGACAATTAGAGCATTTTGTTCTTCCTTACAAGCTAGGATGACTAGTTTGATGAAATTACATTAAGCTCTCAAACACTAGCCAATATCTCAGTAAACTTAAGTTATAAAACAAAACCATTGTGACTGTATATCTTTGGAGTTAACCAGGCAAGTCCTGCAGATGCACTGAAATGACAATCAAGCAGTCGAAATAAACTTTTAGTGCTGTATCAGAAACAATTGAAAATAGGTCAACATTTCAGTAATATTGAATAAATATTTAATTTTTAGTGAAACTCGAGGATTTCATTAAACTGAATTAAGCCGAAAAAACTACTACAATAAAAATAAAGATTTGTTTATTAATGGATAATAACAGAATCTATTAATAAGATACAAAGAATATTGGTTAAATGAACAAGAAATTCTTTAATTTTTAAAACAGAAGAAAAACAACGACATGCTCATTAAAATAAGCTTACTTTTTTTAAATGAATCTAATGCATTTGGTAAATGGAAGAAGAGATGTAACATCAATTTCAGTGAAAATCTAGCAGCCTAAAAACGGGAAATATAATTGAGATGATTGGTGATGAAGGTAACAATATCAGGATGGTATAAGTATTAACTGATAAAATTGCTAGAATGACTGAGTTGATCAAGCTGATAGTTCCTTCAGAGAACTAATATACAAACTGTAATTGAATGGTTATCAGAAGACAACAAATTACCAGCTGAATAAATGTATTTGAGGATTAAAACCATCATTTTAATACAAAATATTCTAGCAATATATAGTGTGACTGAATTATCAATTAAGAAATCCTCAATATTATTGAATCTATCTAGTGTAACTTTTTGACGGTACCAGGGTTTTAATATCATTAGGTTGCAGACACCAATTTTGTTACATGTACTTCTGTTTGTGTAAGAGATTAGTGTTCCAAACTCTCAAACACATACACACGGATACACTAAAAGCATTTCTTGAAGATGGGTACATAGACCTTCACATGCTTACTCTGTAACGCGGATAATTAAACTATGGTATAATTTCCTCTTGGATTGATCTGTCTTCGGCGGGTATAAATTATCATCTTTTACAATATCATAACTCAAAATAGAAAAAGTACCAAATATTGACCAATCAAAGCTGTGTGTTACTATCACTCCAAAATATTATTTAGATATCAGCAATCAGTGTAATAATTCACGAAGGAAAATTTTGAATTAACTGATGAATCTTGAATAAATATTCTATTTTGCACTACATGATTTAACGACATTAGTGTTGGGAGAATAAACAAATGTAAATCATACACCACTAACTACTATTAACAGGATAAACTTTATTAAAGTAACAAAGTTGTATGATACAGTAAGCAGTGCGTATCAAAAAAGTGTCAGTAAATTTGTAATTTGCACGACGTAATAAGAACCAAACTACCAGGATAACTACAAATTTATTAAAAAACAAAACTGCACCAAGGTATATTTCATACATAACCTTACATCATACTGAAGTATTCAGAAATGATACTCATATCATTATTATTTATATATACATAGAATACTTTAATGGTGGAATAAATATTGCCAGTAACATGTTAAATTAACTAGGATGAGTTAATAACAAAAAAATTCCTTGCTCATGGTACATGGATATGATACATGGTTTATTATGATTTATGAAGGGGAACTATGATTTGCATTAGGACTTTACTATACTTAGTAGTGGGAGTACTATACCATACTTCCATCAATAATTTCAATTATACCGGCTGTTCCCTAATTTTATACTCATTATCTGTGATTAAAGTCAAATGTCGATACAATTTTGCATGTTATCTAACTTTTGAACGAAGCATATACTTCGATACATCAAAAGAAAGATATCCAATCTCCACAATTTTTTTATTAAAACATATTAACGCAAGATACCATACTTGGAACAATTAACGAATATAAGTAGTCTGTTTCCATATATCTAGAAATATCAGAGATGGTAGACTTATTATTAACTCCATGTTGAGTAGATATACAACTGAAACAATTAACAAATGTCAAATGTGATATTTTCATATAAAATCTTAGCAAATTTTACTGCTTGACTGAATAATAACTATTGTTATACATTGTAGGATAGTTATTATGCGTCTTTGTTTTCTTAGTGAATATATTTGGGATAGATGATAATAACAATAATAATAATAATATGAAGTGAGACAAAGAAACTGCAATAGGAGAAAGGAGATATAGAGAATCATCAACCACATACCAGTTGATTACTTGGACTAATAGTACGATTACAACCAATACGATTGCATAGAGCTTTTCCTCGATCCATTGAATTTGATTTAGGTTGATCACCTGACAGGAGACGATGCCTACATGAAATGAACATAATGATTTGATGGCACAAATTCAATGCACCGCATCGATGAAGACGTTCAGCTAGCTCATAGCTTGTAGATAACACGGATAAAATTTCTATAAGTGAGCATCTAGCGTTTGCTGTTAATACAAGGGCAGATTGATTGGATGATAAGATCAAGTTGTTGTTACTGTTGGTAGTAGTGCACTCCGAAGTTGTATCGGGAAAACTGAATAAAAGTGAATTGATCAATACTTGTAATGTTGCCTCTGTGAAAAGTTCCTTCAGATTAACAAATAAAAAAGATCAATAACTTGAATTCCATATACATAACAGAATACAAAGTACTGTAATAACAGATTGTACACAATGAAGGTTAGTCATATATTAATAAGTAGGTTAATTAGATAATAAGATTTTGGACTACTGAATGATGAGGTGTAAAAACCTTTCCTACTTCAGGTTTGGACTGACGATACTAGTAGTTTATATATAAGTATTAATTCAGTGAGGACATATGAACAATCAATAAACATGATGATATAACAGAAACATTATAGTACAAAGTATACAATTCGAACAATAACAATAAAAGGCTGTGTAAAATTAACTTACGATAGCAATTTTTTCTCGAGGTGATTGTACAACTACTGAACCCAAGTCTCCAGCTCTGAAAAGACTACGCAGGAATAATAAATCTGCTTCACGAACCATCGGGTCTGTTTTCTCACTTAAAATTACTATTTATAGAAAGAGGAAAGGAATAAGGCAAGATAAAATATATTGAAACTGCATTATTTTATTTAAACTAAGTAATTAGTCTTTTTTATAGATTTTGATAGAACTCCGTCTTCCCATTGTTTTATCAAAATTTAGTGACTGTTTGGAATAAGAATAAGGAGGTAATGTTTATACTAGTTTAAACTGTAGTCAATAAACAATGATATATATATATATATATATATATATATATATATATATATATATGCTACAAATTTTATTAAATAATGCAAGTGATCATCCTTGTAGGATATTAACTTTTCTGAATTAGATCGGTGATGTAAGGAATGTTATCCTTTTCAAAACTTAGTCTACAACAAGTTACATGTTGCAGGAAAGTGACTAAAGGATATATGAATATCCATCAGTTTACAATATATCATGATTTCGATGTAAAACAAATTCATTTCACACTGTTACTTCTCGGAAACAATAATGAGCTTATAATATAAATAGAAAATAATGAATTTTAAACCGTAGGTTGTTACATTTAGATAGCAAAACAAGACATCGATATTACAATAGTTTATGGTTGAAAAATTCTTTTATTGAAGATCGTATGACCGCTATTTTTCTTTTCATTAAAATTCTACCTTAGGTTATACACATTTTTTTAACTTCATTAATTGATTGTATATTTATGGCTATTTTAGTTTACAAGAAACTATGAAATTGAATGATTTCATGTTGTTCTGTACACCACATTATTCTAATTATGATCAAAATGATTAAACGAACTCAAAGGTGTATAAGGTTTCATTATCTATTTGATAATAAAGCTGGAAGATGATTGATTGCTGAGCGTGAGAAAGCAGGTAATTAGCCTGCTGATTATTAAACATGTGATTTCCTTTTCTTTCACTGATTTCTACTGCGAACTCACTGAGGCTGACTGCTTTTAATTCTGTTGAATAAAGTATTATCTAGTCTATAATCTGATTTTAAACAATATGTTACATCAATCTATCATCCTTAAACCCTTTTTCAGCTTTCGCTTGATTAAATAAACATCATTTTAGAAAGAATTAAAGATAATTCGTCGAAGAAAATCTCTTCAACAATGTCATCCACATGAGCTGTACAATCTTATTTATGGGAATTTATTTGAACAAATAGATAACAGGTATAAATAAAATATGACTGAATCCATTTTAATCTGTAGACCTAAGTCATCCAAAGTCTTTACTACACTTTTTCATGGCACCCATGAACCATTAGTTACACTAATGCATTAAAAGTATCAATAATAAATATAAATTCATACATACATGGTAAACCTTTTTCTACATCTTTCAAAATATAAGCATACTGCACATACAAATAATAAAACTTTTCAAACAGATATGCCAAATACTTATTATAGGTACATTACTTAAATAATTATTACAAAATAGTACATTTAATAGAAATTGTCTTGAAGAGATGAAAAAGGACACATAAAATGTAAGATTTTTTTGATTGAATTATTCAAGTAACAGATTTTAAAAAAGTCGGATTAATACATTCAATATTTTACAGAAATAATTCCATTAATCTGTCTTACAAATAATATCTAATAATAAAAAAGGTAGGGTTATTCCTATAGTAAGTAGTTAGCACTGTTACAAGAAATTTCTAAATTATTTCCTCACTTTGATTCAGTATTTTTCACACTACTAAAATGAGTAGACACTAGATTTATACTAGTACTATATAATCAAGTAAATACTCCACTACTTTTCTGTTAAGGGCTTATATGCAACAGTGTATGGGTAGATGTGTGTAGACAAAAGAAAGTAAACAAAAAGAATACTGACTAGTACTATAAAAAGTGATTTATTTACTCTAGGTGAAATGCATGTATATCTAGTCAACAAATTTCGAAAGAAATAAAAATGCATCCTGGAACCTACCATAAATATGATATAATGTGAAACATGTTTTAAAAAGACAATGTTAGGAGATAGTGTGTTTAGTTTACTTTAAACTTTGAGAGGAAATGAGGATACATTAAGAATTTGTTTTATTTTACCTTGATAGACACGATAGTTTTTATTTTAAACTGAACACTAGAAGTTCTACATTTCATCAGCAGAGTATGAATATTAAATCACTAGATTAGAAGTCTAAGGATAATATTTTTCAACTTCATTTGATTCATCAAAAATAATTTAACTTTCTTCCATGTATTTAGTGAGAAATTTATGTTAGAAGAGAAATGATGCATGAAACAAATATCATTTAGTTTCTACCTTTCTAAGACAAGCCAATAATGTAGAATACATGCCGATGATTTAGAGCAATTGCATCAGCATGTAGATAGTTTTTCTAAACGAAATGACACTAATTAGACTGAAATATGGTTGAAGCTAGGAAAACTCATATGTAAATTTATATCAACTTGCAACCAACAAGAGATACTCACAGCACCTACAGTTCAATCCTCAAAGAGACTGAGAATGTATACTATCAAATACACACTGCTCTTCCGTTTGCCTCTCCAAATTTTCTAAATATTACAAAATAGAGAAAACTACTTCCGGACAAAACAAATTCTCTAAATTAACTTGAATAATATCACTTATCTATCAACAAATAACTTACATCAACATAAATAATAAATAAATACTACATGTCTACTTAAAATAACGAGACACTGCGCATACCAGCGATAATTTCTATCTTCAGTCAGATACACTTAGTAATTATAAAGTAATGTTAGTAAGATATCAATAAATTGGTTAAGCAGTTATCCTCACTTGTTATTTCATAACAGTCTCCTCTTTCACATTTTTTTCATTTTATCATCCTATTCATAAGTGCAGCTAACTTATAAAGTGTTATTTGCAGGTGAAAATGAACAACTTCCCTGACCATCGTCATTTTGATGTGTTTTAAAAACACTACAATTATAAAAGCTGTTGCAATGACTAATAATAATAATAATAATAATAATAATAATAATAATAATAATAGCTTACAATTCATGAAATTAGTCAAAAGTTCCGGATGATTTAGAATATCATCTGATAATGAAGAACAATCTCGAACTAGACTGTTGACTAAGCCGAATAAGTCAATGCACACATTGATGTGAGTGGTAGACCATTGATTTAAACGACTAAGTGAATTGAGCAACCTGAAATGTATGATAATGAAAAATGAACGAGTATAAAGTTGAAAAAGTAAAAGGGAAATAAAAGCACAAATAAAAGTTGAGTGAAGCTAAGAAAAGGAAAAATGTAGGATTTCCCTAATTATAATTTATTCAACTCCACATACTTTAAAATAGGCTACGATGTTTTTGTTTACTGACTACAAGCTATATTCGATGTATCAGTAATTCATTGTTTTATGTTTTATTATCATTCATTATTGTAACATAAATGTCCTTAATATGTAATTCTTAAGATCTCTTCAATTAATTATATTTTGTGATCACACAATTCTGATGTATGAATAAAATTATGATTTCACGGACTAAAAATTTGACTTTCAGATCAAGTAAAGCATGATCAAATTAGGCTCGTCAATTCAAAGAGATCGACAACCAGTAGTTAAGTAATACATGCTGTTGAGAGATGATTATATCGATATACATTCGACTACTGAGCTACATTAGTGTTATGTTACATACAGTGTAAAATATAATCATGAATGTTTGTGACCATCAGTTTTACACTAGATTGTTTCTGATTACTGGTTTGAAGGTCATATGTTTTTAATATTGTGTTCCCTGAAATGGAACAAAAACTTCAAACTAAAAGAAGTTTAATTTTAAAAATATCCTGCAAAAATTAATGGGTTAATAATGTACAACTTTGAAAACAATTAACAGTCTGCTTTACCTTTTGACATAAATGAAGAGTACATGATTTAATTTTGAGGGAATTTAAATCTAAATCATATGTAAAATAATTTAAGATCAGATAAAATTAATACAATTATTCAGTGGAAGTCCATTTTGAATGCATCTTTCATCGGCATAAAAATTTAGATCATATCAATGTTCAATTGACGATTACATAAACATCAATTAACAAATCTGGTACGAAATCAGGTTTCGTGCCCTTAAAGTTGTGTATCGAATGTTTTATGCATTCAGACTTTGACCTGTTATAAAGTCATATTGAGTTTCATTGATAGTTTAAGCTAATAAGAATAGTCATCAGAAAAACAAACCATACTAACGGCCTTGAGCAATATTAAGAGTGGTCTTGCGGTTAATCATAATATCGTAAGCCCTGATGTCTTAATTTTAACAATCAGAATGAAGGCTGTTTAAACGACTACCATACCTGAAGCAGTGGTTACCGGTGTTCATTTAATCCATTCAATTATCAAAAACATCATCCGTTGCACTTTCAGTTTCGGTCTCCCAAAAAAGTGCCATTTTTAGTAAACTTGCTTTCCTATGATGTGGCGCATCTTGAAGCGAGCTCCTTCTTTGGATCGCATATCTTTCCTGAATATCATTTACTGTCCATAGAAATACATAAGATGTTATTTCCCAATAGTCCGAGGTTCTGTTAGTGACTGACGATCATCATCAACAAAATTAGTTAAATTGCGAAATCTAGTGGAAAACATATTTTCTTTTATCAGGCCATCTAAATTTGTACTTCAGAAATCGCGTTTTAGTTCTAAAATTGAGATATTCATTCCGACTGTTAGTTGCTTTTTTGCCTCAAAACCATCAGGATAGTTTAGTTCCAAAATTTTGGATTATCAATACATCATGTATGTCTGAAAACTTAATAAATAAATTTATGCCTGGCTATTTTTTGTCAGTATTATTGTTTCGTTTGTGATCCCATAATTTTGTCAACAAGATCTACTGCCTTTACTTTTTGAAACTCAATATCCTTAAACTTGAAAAAGAAGTTGCTTACTTATTGGCTATGAAGCATATGGGATAATAGCTCTGAAGATAGTGATTAATACTAATGGAATCTACTATTTTCTTGCCACTGGATAGTAAACTTTTAAGTGTAAAGTAAGCACAGATATCATTATATACCAATAAATATTCAAACTCACCGAGGACGAAGAACAGAGCTATTTCCAACAACCAGCTTGTTCATTACACTAGCCACAACGAACTGACGAAGAATCCTATCATAGTCAACAAGTAACGCAAAACAATTAAAATTATGTTAATATCTATGATAAATAATCGTAAAAGTAATGGATTAATTTTATGTAGAAAAAAGTTACTAGTCATGCAGAAATTCTAGTAAAAACGATATCTATTAAATATCCTAGGGATTTCATGGAATCAGTACCCGTCACTAAAGGAAACTTGGTGAGAATTGCAATTTTTGCGGAATTTGATTAATTCACTATCTTTTTTTAGTTTCTTATGGTTTTTACACGACCTTATATAGTTCGGGTTAGTATATTTAGCTGATGAGTTCGTGCAATCAAATTTCGATTTTACAGATTGACTACTCACAAGTAACACATGTTTCAAAGCGAAATTATTTTAGTCACATTATCAGAGCTACCTTGCATTGAGGATAATGAGTCGTCGATAAACTCCTTTTTTCAACCTTCCTCAAAAAATTTGGGCGGAAGATATCTCACTGAATAAGAATTCCACCAAAAAGAAGAATATGATGTAGAAATCTAGCCTCTTTACATAAGGAATTATGTAATTTTTTTTAAACAGATGTCAAACTGGACATAGAAGTCAAAGTGCGTTGATTAGAAATCCGAGTGTTAAAAGCAACAAAACCGGAAAACAGTACGAGATGATGTCAAATAAAGTCAAATTCTGACTCCTAAAAAGCGGAATCGGTAATTTGTCCTTCGAAATGCAATATTTTTGGTAACTATCAGCAGTTATATCTCGTAGCATCATAATGGAAATAAGTATATTGATGAGTTTCAAGATCCTTGATATATAGTAGGATTCCTTTAGTAACATAGTGAACATGCCAATGAGGTTTATAGCATTAGTTAGATGAAATTGTAGACACGAAAACATTTCACTGCTTAGTGTTAAATTACGACAGTCAAACCAGTCCAAATATTACTCTAGATTTGACAGGCATGAAATCATCTTAAGTATTCATCCATACTTACATGAAACTTGGACGTCCTTAGAGTCTGTGGCTAGTGAATATATATTATCATGTGAATAAAGTTAACTTCTTTGGCGGTAAACACGACGGGGCCATATTTTCCACCAACAAATCGAACTGATTTTCGTACATTCAATTGAAACTTTAGTGAGTTTATCCCATAAAGAATGGTATCTTTAACCTTAAGGAAGAAACCCATTGGAAGCTGACATTTTCTCAAACCTTAGTCTGCCATACCATTTTCGGTGTTACTTGCGGTTAAATGACATTTTTATTTACACTTCAGGCTGTGACCAGGTGCTAGGCAGGTGAAATCCGATCTAATCTGAATCGAGCTGGTATTCAAAGTGTTCTTCATATAAATTCAATGGACTGATCTGAGAATGCACTCAACCTTTAGCCATTGGTTTGAAGTTTTGAATCCGATCTCAATTATCTTGATACGAACAATAAAGTAGTTCTCATGTAAAAAATATGGCATCGAATAGAGCAGGAAAATTTTTATTTGGCTAATAAGTTGGGTTATAACTTTTATTATTTTTAATAACCCCTGTTCAAAACCGATTTTCAGACAGGGAACAGACAGTATTTTTTGACTAGGTAGACAACTAAATGGTGTTTATTACTATAAAGAGAGGGGATATTGGGGTCGGGTTAAATGAAAAGTATGAGGTAATATTACTACTTAACGGAGTAAGCCGTAAAACATATCTTATTGTCGAAAAAAGTAACATTCTGCAAGAAAAAGGCATTCTAAAAGCGCTTGTTAAAGAATATCCTGACTGCTGGGGCGATCCCGAAAATTTCTCGGAATAGACATGACAAACTCAGGAAACATTAAGAAGTATTTTATCCAATCAGCGTTTGACTAGAAGTTTTACTAGAAACATCACGAAAATAAAAAGTCACATGTAGAGGTTCTGATTGGCTGATCACTATACTGCTACTATGTTTAGTAGCACTCTAGAATTTTCAGGAAAACCCAAGGACTTCTAAAATACTATAAAAACGCTATATTTTCTGTACATGAATGAACCTTTGGAGTAAAGTGCTTCGAGCATATTTTGTGCCTTTTCTCTCATGTTCAAGTCGTTGTGTAGATTTAGCTTGGGGGTTACGAGACTAGCTTAGGATCCGAGTATAGCGTTCAATTAGCAAGACTTATCACTAACAGTTTTATTCACAGCTCCTTGATAAATAAAACCTACAAAGCTTAATTGTATTCCACAGAAGGACTGAGAGAGCCTTAAATTTTAAAGATAAATGTTTTTTACCAAATTATTGCAAAAATCAACTAGACCTGTTAACATTCAAGTAAATATAAATGAAACAATATGATAGCGGTTAAAATCAATAAGTATACAATAGGATTTAGCACGTGTTTATGCATGCATAAGATACAAATATATATCTATATACCACGTGAATAACTTCTTTCGATAAATCATGTAAACAAGCAGACAATATATATATACATAAAAAAAGCAAATTCTTTTAATCAATAGATGCACTATAAAGTGAAAACTAAATCACTTTTTTTTGGTATTTCTTTCGATTGATTGTAGAGAAGAACAAAAGGGATAAACTGTTTTAAAAAGTATTGTTATGCATATAGATATAAAATGTTTTAAGGAAACTAATCAAAGAATTTCACTTAAATAATGGATACGGATTAAGGATATACATTTAATAAATAATAAAAATGTCAAAGAGGAATTATGATAATAATTTCTTATTACAAATTAATAATTATAATTGGTATTATATATTTAAAAAGTACTAGAAAAATCCATAACGACAATGAGAAAGATAAAATAGTAATTTTCGTACTTTTATTATTATTATTAGTATTATTATTTTATGGATTTCCAGGTGAGTCGGAAACCTTAAAAAATTTTAGCGATAATAATTTGATCTATTTATAAGAAATTGAAATTTGGTACAACAGAAGCATCAAGAGATGTTGATGTTGGTTTGTTCTCTGAGCTGGATGGTTTAGTCGTGGAGCTTTCATCGTCCTTCTGAACGACATCATCAGCACAAACTTCGGGCAGAAGTGAAGTGTTTGAACTTCTCCACATGTGATTCACAGCTTTTCCTCTGCACCTCGATGTTGATTGGTTCTTATTGACCTCAAATCTGTAATTGTTTATTTCTTTGCTTTGGTTGTATCTCCTATTGGTTTGATTTTTGTTCCTATGTTCATGCATAATTTTCTTGATTAGTTGATAGATTGGATTGATTTCAATATGTTTGTTTATTGCTGATTGACCAGAGTGCCAAGCTTCTAAAAATTCTCTGGTATTTTTGGAATTGCCTCTGTCCAAAATCTGCACATTTTCCCAGTCGAATGTATGTCCGTAGTTGTCCACGTGTATTGATATGAGTGGAGAAATGTCGTGGCGTTTGACTGCCAACTGGTGTTCATGTAGGCGAATATGCAAGGGGCGTCCGCTTTGTCCAATATAGTGTTTGTTGCAGTTGGTACAATTTATCTTGTAGATGATGTTTGTTTTGTCCTCTTTTGCCATTTCATCTTTTGGTTTGCATAAGATTGAGTGGAAGGACTTTGTTGGTTTGTGGGCTACACATATTCCGAAGGTTTTCAGCAGCCTTGTTGTCATTTCCGACATGCCCTTTATGTATGGTAGGGTGATCCTTTTGTTGATTTTTATACTTGATTTCATTTCTGATGGTGTGTGCGACTGGTACTTTTTGATGAAATTGATTGGATAGCCGTTCTTTTGAAGAATGGTTTTCAAGAGTTTTTCTTCATTTTTTCGTGCTGTGATTGTATTGCAGTGTGTTCTCGCCCTCTTGAACAAAGTTTGTACACAGTTGTTTTTGTGAGTTCTTGGGTTGTTGCTATTGTAGTTGAAAATTTGATCGGTGTGGGTCGGCTTTCTGTGCACTTGAGTCTCTAGTTTTCCTGTGTCAGTTCTGGTGATTAATACATCTAAGAATGGTAACTTGTTGTCCGACTCTTGTTCCATTGTGAACTTGATGTCGTTGAAGACGTTGTTGATCTGCTTGTAGGTGTTTTCTAGTTCCTCCTTTTTGACGATGACGAATGTGTCGTCTACATAACGAATCCAAATTTTTGGTTTGATCACTGGTAGAATTGTGGTTTCTAGTCGTTGCATTACTGCTTCCGCGATGAGTCCTGATACTGGTGATCCCATTGGTGTCCCTTTTGTTTGTTTGTAGATTTTGTTATTGAATTGAAAATATGTTGTTAGACATAGATCTATGAGTTCAAGTAGGCTTTGGCTTTGAAGTTTCGTGTATTTCGCGAGGTTTTCGTCGTTGTTTAGAAGCAAGGACAGAGTTTCGTTTGCTAAGTTTGGTTCAATTGAAGTGAATAGTGTTGTTACATCAAAGGATATCATTAGTTCGTCGTCGCTGATTTGAATGTTCCTAATCTGATCAAGGAATTGTGTGGCTGATTTGATGGAGTGATTCGACGAATCTACTAAATGTTTCAGTATTCTTGAGATTTCTCTTGATAAATTGTACGTTGGTGTTCCTGGTAGTGCTACAATTGGACGTAGTGGGATGTTTGGTTTGTGTATCTTTGGTCTGCCGTATAACCGAGGGAGTACTGGTCCATTATATTTCATTCTCCATTGATCTTGCTTCGTTATTTCTCCTGCTTTGAAGAGTTTGTTTAAAGTTTTTGAAATGCGATTGTCTAGTTTTTTGACTGGATTTATGTCCATCGGTTTGTATGTACTTTTGTATGTACTTTCACTTCTACCCGAAGTTTGTGCTGATGATGTCATTCAGAAGGACGATGAAAGCTCCACGACTAAACCATCCAGCTCAGAGAACAAACCAACATCAAAATCACCCGCCTGAGCTACAAATCTTCTCCACCATCAAGAGATGTGAAATACAAAATAAGATGATGATTTTTTTAAGAAACAAAGAGAAAATTTCGCCAAATAATACCAAGAGGAATATCAGTAATAGAGGATACAGTTCGTATATGAATACAAATTTTGTCTGATTAATAGATACCTGTCGCAGTTTATGAAGAACATAGTACAGGACCACAACAACATCATTGGTATCTTCTTTTCTGAACTAGGTCAGTTAACTACAGAAGGCGCTAAGTTATATAGTTAGTAGTCATTTCACCTGATAATTGCCAAGTGACATATGGTGACCCAAAACAATTGCTTTTTATTTTGAAGCGTCATGTTACAAGGTGACTATATATATGCTTTATCTATTCAACTAAAGTGTCAAGAAGTAATTATCAGTGAGGTTAGTGAGATATTATGGATAATATATGTGAGTGTCGACAAAGTTAGTGTTTTAAAATGATATCACAAACATAATTCATCATTTTTAATACATCCGAATTTTGTCGAACATGAGTATTGCTTACACGATTTTGATAATGAATGTACATAATCCCACGGATGTAACGATGACAAGGGACAGGGAAAAGTAAAAAGCACATACCGTGCTCCAAATGATGAAGTGAGATTTTGGTAGCATATATGTCACTGCATAGAAAAACGATCTCATCAGCATACTAAACATTGAGAATGAATCCCTAAGGTAACGGATCTACATTCAGTTTGTCACACATTTTCAAAAGATGTGTTCAGTTTTCTAACCAAACTGTTGCTTCCACCATACGAAAGAGAAACGGGAAGTGTATCCCCAGGATAATATAGCTTCAAGTATCAACAGTACTTTCCAGTTTTTTGGCGTTCATAGAGAATTATTGAGTACGGGACGAACTCGTCAGACCTATTATACCCGTGTGTCAGGTAAACTATCACTTATCGTGGTCCGCTCAATATTTTTGATAATCGTTATTTAGCGAGCCATTCACCTTACACATTACACAATAGATACCGAGTTTCTAGTCATTAGTAGATTGAATAATTTGGGACAACACTCATAAGATGCAGCTGTTTTTTCTGTGCTAGTAAAAGATTTAGAACACCACATTTCAAAGTCCTTAAGTAGGTTGTGAAATTTTGCATATGTTTTTGTACTCATAGTCAGTCGTAGTAGATATTTAGGTAGGACTAAACTATACTGCCGAACCAATCAGAAGCTTCCGCGGGTTTTCAAGGTCACGGCGCTATGTTCGGTACCTGATGCTTACGTATGATCGGTTTACAGCAGATTTTAGAGAAGACGTGGTAATTCAGCGTCATAAGATTTTGGCGCTAAATTCAATTATCCATTTGGATAAATAGAGTTTTGGCATTATAGCTGATGTCAGTTGGTGATGAAAACCCTAAGTATAATTCCTAGCCTTAAACGTGAACTTTAAATCATAATTTGAATTCTTCACACAGGTTTATACCCTCATTTGGTCTTAGTTATTATGTTGACACTCTCAGAGCCACTCTAGCGTCGCTCAAAGGTTGTCCATAACTTATAGTCTCACCCATAACCCTAAACCTTAATTCTAACCCCAAACCGTAAACCATACCAATATACTAACATTATTGAAGCCGTGTGGTCGAGGCTAAAAGAATTTTTGGGACCTTATCATGGTTTCAGAGGTCGACTACTATGGAGCCATATGGATGTGTTCCTGTACCGTATGCACTATGATTTTAGAACTTCTGAACCTATATCTGACCTTGAGAAGTTTTTGACTCATGTAAAAGAAGTGTTTCTACTTTAATTCTTTGGTTTTGTATAATAAATTTTTACTGTACACTAACTGTCTTCTGATTGGCTAATATTTCTCAAAGTCGTTTAAGATTCGTTCAAAGGTCGGCAGTATAGTTTAGTTCTACCGATATTTAAATATAAAGAAGCTTACTGTAAACTAGCATTACGCCTTTCATATAATAAGAGGAAATTCAACAAGTGTTGACATAAATATCTATTTGACTTCATCAAAGTACTAATTTGAAAGTGTCACCGAGAAAATTGTATTTTTGACAGTGAATTTGTAAACAAATTTTTACTGGGTTAACTATACCGACCAAGTGAGTAAATAGTATGCGAATTATTCGGAAATATTAAAAGCTCTGATACCCAAAGAACATAAACTATTAAAGAAGATAATATTGGACATCACGCAATTTTTAATGCCGAAAACTTACCGAATGGATTTTAATACGAGTAATGGATCATCTGAGCAAATATCTTGTTCGACTGAAGCTTCAAGACGAGCAACCACTTCCTGCCACAAACTTGAAACACCTGAACTGTTTGTTCGGTCTGTAGGTTGCTCAAAATTGGAGAGATTCTGAGTGATGTTAGAATCAATAGATGGCATCTAAACGCAATCGGAAATACAATTATTCTTGACTATGTCATTACAAGAAACTAAACTTGAATATAGCTTTCAAAAACAGGTAATAACTAGAAAATAACATAGTGTTGTGAAATCCATACATATTTACTCATTAGATGAGTTCAGCAAATATACTTACGACACAAAGGTATCGAACTTTATTAATTCGCAAGCGTAATGTATGACTAAGAGAAAAACATTTAACAAACAAATAAATAAATATATATAAACAAATATATTATTTATTTATAACAATCTACCCAATGCTCAATTTATTCGAAATTATCAAATCAAAACTTGCTAATGATACTGTGGGATAGAACAAACCAGCCTCCAGCTGAAGAGGAAATTAGGAAATAACGCTGGAGGTGGATAGAACATACATTGCAAAAATTACCGAATTACATCACGAAGCAAGCCCTAACTTGGAATCCTGAGGGGAATTGGAAAAGAGAAAGGTCAAAGAAAACGCTGCGTTGAGAATTGGAAGCAGACATCAAAAGTATGAATAACAACTGGAAAGGGTTGCTCAGGACAGAGTTCAATAGAGAATGCTGGTGGGTGGCCTATGCTACTCCATGAGGGGTGACAGACGTAAGTAAGCATTTAATCAATATGCTCAAGCCGGAGCCTCAGTATTTTGCAAGCCCCAAGAATACTTCCCGGTGTGACGAATGGGTCCGGATGGTGATTACTATTGAGAATCTCAAGTACAGCCAACATTCATATTCACATATGTTGAGCTAAATCGGATGTATTTAGTTATAAACAATATTTTAAGAGATCGGTTCGGGGAAATTTAGATAAATAATAGATCTATGGACTGCAATCATGGAAGGTTTACCAATATGGGTTCCTTTTTACTAATAAAAGTTCCATCAGGAAATTTCACCATACTGGGACTGAATCTTATACTTAGGTTTCGTGTTACTTCTGAGAGGATGACCATATGCATGGTTAACTGTCAGCAACTAATACCAGGTTTTTTTTAAACACAAAACAAGTGGACCTTACTGTATACTGTCATAGCATTGGCTCATACACGGTGGGCGAGGCTTGCGGTCGAGTACATAAACATGTGGTTATTATTCATTTTTCACCTTATATAAATTAAATTGGAAGCAAAAATTCATGCATATACCTCCTACAATATAATTTTCGCAGTACTAGTGACAACAACTCAGATTTTTTCGTGATGATAAGTGGCAATAATCCTATAAAACATTAGGACGGGAGCTGTGTCAGCCTGACAAGTGTTAAATAAACACTGACGTTTAGGATTTCCGGAAGACCGATACATACATATAACCAAATAAGTTTTAGAGTTAAAACAAATATGACTATTTGGTCAAAATAATTAGTTAAGTGACTTTACTAACATTTAGAAGAGGAAATATACCCTTTACGTATTGAAAACCATCTTCCATATATTTATGTAACACTAAGAATACTAGGAACGTGAGTGAGATAATAAGGGGAAAAATGTAAGACCTAGGTTGGGATTTTTGACGCAGTTTAACAAAACTTTTTCCGTAGTCGAAGAAAACCCTAAATGAATAAATATTGACACTTTACTTATTGAATACATCCAGAGACGAATGAATATTAATATATCACAATGTAAACACTAGCTGTTTTCCGGAAGGTCGGTTAAATACTGTAAGGGTTTATTCAGGATAGAACCGGTCCTTTTGAGGGCAGAGGTGGTTTCGAAACTATTGACGAAAATACGGAAATCAGTAATTTACACGGGTTGGATTTTCAATAAATGAAACATCACTGACAGTGTGAATACGTTACTATGACGATTAAAACTTGATAGCTCGCTCTATAATTTATTGACTTTTCTTAAAACAGAAAAATTAATAGCCACCTGACCAGGAAAATGTGATGCGCCAGATAGCCGATTCTGCCTGAAAACGTTTAGCAGAAAGTGACCGTGATTGAATAAGTGAGCGTTAATTGATTTAATTTTTATATAACAGTTTGTCTTGCAGTGTTGTTATCCAGAACTTACACCTGAAACAAGTGGAGAGTGATTCGTGTGAAAACGAGACTAGGGCATTTTGTAGTAGTTAGATCAACTAACAACCAAAACGTTTTCTGTTAACTCACGTTTTTATACAGTCATAGCCTGGAGTTATGATAAAGAACTCAAGTTACAGACCTGATTCGACGATTTGGTAGGCTAGCCTACAGAATGCATGTTTGTTTATTTAGATGATTCACAGTTATTAAGTGATAGCTAGTGACAAAGCCTCACCATCCAGAACTTGATAGGTTGGATGGGTTTTAAAGTGAAGGAAAACTACACCTTGATAATTGCTAGATAATAGCTACGGTGAGGATGTTTTTATCTAAGATAATGTTTAACAGCTGGGATATTGTTGCTAAACATGACTGAAACAGCATCACGCAGGCGCTATTTTGGACAGAAGTGAAATGAAGGGTACTGCCTGTTGAACTCCTAGTAGTCCTATCGACTCCTAGTAAGTTTTGAGAATAGGGTAATGTGAGCCGGATTTACATTGAACTCTATTCGAAAATAAAATACGAGCGATATATAGTCGTTTCAAATGCGAAACGTAAACACCGAAATTTGTTCAGAAATAAACTAATGCAGTCAAAGGATATTGCATCGAGACTTGATATTATAAAGAACCTGTCATCCAGGGTTTTTTTTATCATAGTCCAAATATTGTTGCTCACTTATTCTAACTTTAAAAGAATTCTGAGCACAGAAGAATAACTGAGAAACATTCTGTTTCAGAAACTACCACCGAAATACCCGGGAACACCCTGTTTTGTAAAATTTGTAACACTTTGATCAAGATTCCAGAGTGAAGTCACTTTATTGTTCACATGCATAGTATCTCGCTAAAAGTTGACGTTGTCTTGCCATCGGCTAAAAATGGCATACAATATCGTACAAACACTGCTGTTTTCAGTGGGAAAATTCGAAAGCCTGAAGGCAGAACATAGGACTTCGTGGAAATATAGGGGGTATCGCGGGAAGCCTTTAGCATTTTTCAGCCAGTTTTATGTAAATGTTTTTATTTGGTTTGATTAATTCCACTGATATCGGAGGAGTGAATACAAGTTTAAACTATTATGGTAATCTATATGTAAAACCCCGTAAACTTCATTTGCAGAATAACTAAGTTTGCAAGAACTTTTAAAAGCATGGTTAAGTCACTGACACAGTAAATGTCATTCGAATACAGAAAGAGAATAGACAAGTTATAACTTGAATACACCAGCTATTACGTGTGTGATTACATCCTCACAAACGCCGAACTACAATTAATCAAAATTTCAGTATTTCAGAACGTATTTATTCTAATAAAGAAGAACTTGCAAGCTGTTTACGAAAAACATATTTCCTAATGATAACCGAAAATATCCAAGTATGACGAACTACCATTAGGCCCGGAGACCGAAAAAGCGCCCAATAAGGTCAAATGTACGAAGTACAATCAGTTTTCATTAATAAGGATAGTAAGTTGGTGAACCTGTGTTAATCCTGGCAGATTTCCTTTCACTGAAGGTTCAGCTTCTCTTTGAAAGTGTTCATTGATGATGTCTTTCAGTCGTTGACCACTCGATAAGAAAAACGAGACCCCACCTTAAGTTTATCAGACCTCGGTTTGTGAACCTTCGTGTTATGACCTCGGAGATTCTTAGTGCTGAAGAAAGCAAAAAGATATGATATTTTAACATCTTAATCACAATTGAAGATACGAAATTCCCGTATAAGATCACCTCGTGTCCTACGATACGACAAGGGGATGAAGATGCAACGGATATTCTAGTTTTACAACTAGATACCAGTAGCACCTTCTAAATTTGATCGTTCCCAGTCAGATAGAAATCAGAAGTCGGACGAGAATAGGTAGGAAAGATATATTTGATTCGTTACCAATATATCGAGGACCTTTTCTATGAGCTGGCTAATGAAACGTAGGAGCTGTGTCCCACGCAGTATTGAAACGTGATCTGGTGCGGATGCATGGCCGAAAGCCTTCAGCTAAACAAGTCCACTTAAACAACGTGGTCAGCATCCAATGTCGAACACTTAATGAGCTATTGATTTTGGGGAATTATTTACAGCTGCAGATCACTCCCCTCCTAGTGAGGTAGTGATGCCCCTAAGACGTGACCAGCCAGAAGTTTAAACCCAACGAATTTGTCGTTGGTAAACACTCTTCTGATAGCTTGCTTCGTTTAGCAGCGTCTGGTCGTCTTTCCTTAAACTATGGGACCAAAATGTACAACGTAGCAAATAAAGAAATATAGTACAATGAAAATTTCTGTTCCTTGCGAAACTTCGTCGTTCTTTTCCAGCCGTCCTGGAAAAGAGGAAAAATAAAACATGTGAGTGCATGCCAAAAATACACTCGAACTTGCGTAAGGACACAAGATGAGCGGAAAAAAATAAACTAATACACTTACAAACAGCGTAAAAGCGATCGGAAAAAAGGTTTTCTTTTGGTTTTTTTTTAATATAGAAATATATATATATATACGTTCAAAAAAAATGTTTTTTTTGTTTGTTTGTTTTTTACATAAATAAAAAATGAGCATATTAAAAAAAATTTATAATAAACTTAGAAAGGGTAATTCCAGATAAAGCTTATGTCCTACGTGCAATATTCGTTAAGATGTTCTGGAAATCTTACTCGCCTTCCAGAACGCGTTGTTTTAGGTTTTTCTATCGACGTTGACGAAGTATCAAGTTGTGTGTCGGTTGTCGTGTAGGGTACTACGAGTGTAGTAGCTGTGTCGTTTGCTTGTACCGAAGGAAAATCGACGTAGCTAGGGTTTCCTTCTAGGTACGCAGCTTTGAGTCGATCGATACTGATGCTATCTTTCGTACCGTTCTTATCAACTACATAGTACTTAGGTTCGCGTTGAAGAACTTTGAAGGGTCCTTCGTATGCTGATTCGAGGGGTCGTCGATGTGAGTCTCGACGAACGAAGACGTGTGTACTATGTCGTAGTTCGGGTTGAACGAAAACATCAGTTGATTGAGGTCGAGTGTGAGCAGGTTTAACTGAACGCATAGCGTTTGTAAGCCTACTCGTGTAAGAGTTTAGATCCATGTTCAATGAAGAAACTGAAGGATCCACGAATTCTCCTGGGAGTCGGAGTGTCGTTCCGTAAACGAGTTGAGATGCCGTGTATCCAATGTCAGCTTTCACTGCATTGCGGATACCTAGCAAGACGAGTGGAAGAGCGTCTGTCCACTGTGAAACGTTTGAAGCTGATAATGAAGCTTTTAATTGTCGATGAAAACGTTCTACCAACCCGTTTGCTTGTGGGTGGTAGGCGGTCGTTCGGAAGCGCGTGATTCCTAAAAGTGTGGTCAGACAACGGAAAAGTTCAGATTCGAACTGGCGTCCGCGGTCTGTAGTGATTGTGGAAGGGCAGCCGAAATTTGCTACCCATCGTTCGACGAAAGTGCGAGCCACTGTTTCAGCAGTAATGTCCTTAATCGGTACTGCTTCTGGCCATCGAGTAAAACGGTCTACGCATGTTAAGAGATATGAGTATCCGTTCGAGTCGGGTAAGGGTCCTACCAAATCTAGATGGACGTGGTCGAAACGAGCGTCAGGGGTTTTGAAAGAACATAAGGGACATTTGTTGTGTCTGATTACCTTAGATTTCTGACAGCTTACACAGGAGCGTGACCACTCCCTCACGTCTTTATTCATGCCAGGCCAACAAAAGCGTTCGGCTATAAGTTCGATTGTTGCACGAGCACCTGGATGAGAAAGATTGTGCAACGTATTGAAGACGTTGCGGCGATAGTGTTTTGGTACAATTGGACGATCCCTACCTGTAGATGTGTCACAGAGTAAGGTTTCCTTACCTGTTCCCATCTGCCTAATACTTAGTTTAAGAGTTGTCGAGGATAACTCATGCTGAAGATCAATGTCTTCTTTTTGAAGCTGAGCGAGTTTAAGAAGGTCGATTCCTTGGAAACTGTTCAAGGAGCTAATTCGAGACAAGGCGTCTGCGACTACATTGTTTGCTCCAGAAATATGTCGTATGTCTGAAGTAAACTGCGAAATGTAGTCGAGTTGTCTAGACTCTCTTGGTGAGTACTTGTCTGAAGATGAACTTAAAGAGAAGGTAAGAGGTTTGTGATCGGTAAAGAGCGTGAATTCTCTTCCTTCGATGGAATGTTGAAAATGCCGTACAGCACAATACATAGCTAGGAGTTCCCTACCGAACGTGCTGTACCTAGATTCAGCGTCTAGCAACCGTCTCGAGAAAAATCCTAAAGGTTGCCACGAGTTGTTAACCCATTGTTGTAAGACTGCTCCGATTGCTGAGTCGGATGCGTCTACGGCTATACTAATGGGCGCTTGACTGTCCTGATGAGCAAGCAAGGTTGCTTTAGCGATGTGTTCCTTAACTGTGGAAAATGCTTTACGGGCTGTGTCGTCTAAACTAATTGATTTTGCATTTCCACGAAGCTGATCGGTCAACGGTTTCATTAGGGATGCGCATTTAGGTATGAACCGTCTATAGAAACTTACGAGTCCGTTAAAAGTTCGTAACTGCTTGATCGTGGTCGGTTCTGGGTAATCCAGAATGGCCGCCACTTTGCTCCTAAGGGGTCGGATGCCTTGAGCATCAATGGTGTGTCCTAAGAAGTCTAAGCAGTTAGTTCCGATTTGGCATTTCTGAATGTTGACAGTAATGCCATGCCTTTGAAGTCGATCGAAAACAATGTCCAGATGCTTGAGATGCGATTCTGTGTCCGGACTTGCTATTAGACAGTCATCAACATACGCATGTACGAAGTTGAGACCTCGGAAGACGTCGTCTATAAACCTTTGGAAGGTTTGAGCCGCGTTTCTTAAACCAAAGGGCATTCGTAGAAATTCGTAAAGACCGAAGGGAGTGATGATGACGGTTTTAGGAATGTCGTCAGGTGCCATCGGGATTTGGTTATAAGCTTTAACCAAGTCGATTTTCGAAAAGACAGTTGTACCCTTCAAGGTAGCTGTCAAATCGTGAATATGAGGCAGCGGGTAACGATCGGGAATGGTTTTAGCATTCAGACGCCGATAATCACCAGTTGGCCGCCAATCATTGCTGTCCTTTTTAGGGACCATGTGCAATGGGGATGCCCATGGACTATTCGATGGTCGAATTATTCCTAGGTCCATCATGTGGTTGAATTCGTTTTTAGCTAACCTAAGTTTTTCGGGAGCGAGTCTTCGGGCTTTCGAAAATACAGGTGGTCCTGTAGTCGAGATGTGATGTGTAACATTGCTGGTTACACAAGGTAATTTCGATTGCGATTGGTATATCCCGGGGTATTTGTCGAGTACTGCTTGGTACAAGGGGTCTATGGCGTGCTTAATCGTGACTGGGGATAACCTGCAACCAGAACAAGGAGTTACGCAAACGGACAACTTGGTGTTTCCGTCTATTAACCTTCGTGCGCGTGTGTCGATGAGTAGATTGTGGTGTTGTAACAGGTCAATACCAATGATTGGCATAGAGACATCTGCAACCACGAAAATCCAGTGTATGGGTTTACGTAAACCCACGTTAAGGTAGACGTACCTTTTACCGTAAGTAGCGATCGGCTTTCCGTTTGCCGCCTGTAAACTTAAAACAGACTCGCGAAGTCTGTCGTCGAGATTTGCTGGAAGAACGCTAACTTCTGCGCCAGTGTCGACGAGGTAGCGAACTTTCGTAGTCACATCCGTGACATATAAGAGGCGGCTGTGTTCGCCGGCTACGGTTGCCGTTAACGCGTGCCGGCTGGGAAGTTTCCCGAACTGTCACTCGATTTTGGGGTCGGATAATTACAAGGTTTCCTGCAGTTTCTGGAAAACTTACCGTACTGGTTATGATACCAGCACCAGTCGGGATTGTCTGTCTCTCGTGGTCGAGAGCCAGATCGCTTACGTGAGGCACTTCTACGCATGGTTTTTGACCGACTACGGTCATTGCGAACTCTAAGATATCGTGTAAGCGTGTGACATAGTTCGGCCATGTCAGTCGAGGTCGATTGGGGTTTTTCTTTGACGGAAAAAACCTCGGCCTTAGAAGATCTAGTGATTTCCAAGATTCGATCGGCAGATGCAGCTAGTTCATCTATGGCATTGTTTTGAAATGAAACAAGCACTGCCTGCACCTGTTGAGGGAGTTTAGACAAGAAAAGTTGTCTAAATAGGCCATCATCGAAAGTTCGTTGGCCGATGACTTCTCTCATTCTAAGCAACATGTCCGTCGCAGAACCATGTTGCAAGTCGATATTGTTAAGGAGTTGGTCTAACCGTTGTCGATCAGTTAGGTCTCCTCGTTTTAAAATCGATAGCTTAAGCGATTCGTAAGGTTCGGAAACATCACTAGTAAACATACTAGATGTTACGTACCTGTTAAACTCGCGCGGTAACGCCTTAACTACCGCGAGGAAACGTGT